TGCTGCTTTTGCTTCAGGAGGCGGTCGCTCAACGCCTTGACTTGGTCTTCGGCGGAGGTTTTGGCTTCTTGTGCCTCGCGGCTTTGCTGCTTCGCCTTCTTCATGGCCACCTCCTTTTCCCGAGCTTCTTTCCTGGCCTTGTTGACGGCGATTTCCAGTGAGGCAATTCTCTCCACGGTGTCTTCGTCCTGCTTCTCCCTCGCCTTCTTGGCAGCAGCATCCGCCACTTGTTCCAAGAGCTCCATGATACCAGGGGTCTGCAGCAGCGCCGCCATGGTCCCCTGATCTTGCTCTTGTTTCTTCTCCGCCGCCGGTGGGGCACTCGCTTCCCCCATCGGTTCATCTTCCTCTGCGGGTGGCGGAGTGGCTGTGGAGGGTCCAGCCGTGTCCTCCTGGACTGTTTCACCTCCTTGCCCATCCCGGGCTTTAACTTCACCAACCGAAGTCGGTGTCCCCTCCCGGGGTGTGTCCATCTCTCCCGACGTGTCGGGGGTACCCTTGCCGGCAGAACTGTCTGATTCCTCGGCCTCCATGGTGGAGGCCGGGGAGGGAGCCCGTTGCTCCGCGCTTGCGCGTCCGCCCAGGCGGAAGCGTGGTAGCCACCCTCAGGTGGCTCCAAAACCAAATGATACGAAAAGACTGTGGGTGTGGGGTTCCTGCCCTCTTTGAGCCGCGGACCCGCCTCGCCGGGCACCTAGGTCCTTACGGGGACCTAGGCGGGACCACCCCTCCTACTCCCATATCCTAATACCTAAAGTGGTTAACCTGGGTTGAGGATAGTGTTCTTGGGCAGGGCGTCCCCCACACCAAGGGCCAGTAGTAGGGCGTCCCCCGCGTCAGGCCTGTGCGCGTAACATTGGCTTCCTATTCGTCAGGTGATGGAGGAATGCGAGAGAGTGGATCAGCCACATTCTTTTGCTTTCGGCTTCTGGAATCACCGGCATCGGCTGTCCAGTCGGACTGGGGGCCCTTTTGGCCTGTTTCGCGGGCTGGGCGATTTTCTCCTCCGCCTCTTTCGCCCGCATTTTCTGCTTCAACAGCCGGTCGCTCAATGCGGCAACCTGCTGTTCAGCCGATGTCTTCGCCTTGACTGCCTGGCGACTGACCTCCTTGGCCTTCTTCAAGGCAACTTCATGCCGCCTGGCCTCCTTCTTCGCAGAGGCCGCCGCGATCTCCAACTTGGCGATCCAGGCGGCGGTCTCTTTGTTGCGCGTCTCTTGGGCTCGCAAAGCCGCCGCGGCCGCCATCTGCTCCAGCAGTGCCATTATGCCCGGTGCCTGAAGAAGGGCCGCCATGGTACCCGGCTCCGCCGCCTCCTCTTCTTGGGGCACTTCCGCCTCGGTCATCGGATGGTCGGGCTCCGCTTGTCCCGATGATGCACCGGCTATGTCCTTTCGGACTTCTTCCTGCTCTTGCCCATTTCGGGCTCTAGTTCCCTCACCGGCTGAACTTGCCGAGGTCCCCTGTTGGGGTGATTCCTCTCCCATTTCGGGTGTGCCCTGTCGGGCTGTAGGATCCGTTTCCTCAACCTCCATGGAGGAGGCCGGGGAAGAAGCCCCGTTGCTTCTGCTTCCATGCGCACCCAGTCGAAAACGTGGTCGCCACCCACAAGTAGCTCCAAAACCAAATAATACGAAAAGATTGTGGGTGTGGGGCTCCTGCCCTCTTTGAGCCGCGGACCCACCTCGCCGGGCACCTAGGTCCTTACGGGGACCTAGGCGGGACCACCCCTCCTACTCCCGTATCCTAATACCTAGAACGGTTACGATGGGTTGAGGATTATGTATCTTGGGCAGGGCGTCCCCCACACCAAGGGCCATGAGTAAGGCGTCCCCTACATCAGGCCACTGCGCGTAACACCTAGGACCAGAGGGGGTGAGAAGAAGTAGTTGTTGGTGCCTCCGAGGAGTTACCATGGGGTTGGTTTCAATTCCTTGGGGTGGGTACAGCAGGTGTTGTAGTTGGTAGCAAGGAGGGAAATCGCGTTGGGCACGCCGAATCCTTAGGGGTCTAGCCTATAGGTGGCAGCTGCGCCAAGGGGTGGCCAGTTATGAAAACCCAAGTCGGTGTCAGAGGCGCTACTCTTCTTACCTCGGGTATTCTTTTATTGTTGTCTTCCTCTTGTGTCCACGTCTAGTAGAGGTGGCCATTGAAGGGTGCCATCCGGTCCGTTAAATCCGGTTCGTTAATTTTTATCAGCTGTCCGTTAAATTTCGTTAAAGAAAAAGGGAGAAAATTTCAGAAAAAAGAAAAAAATAAAAAAAAAATCAAAAAAAAAAAAACCAAAAAATCACAACAACTGCGGCTAGTTGAAAATCTAGTATGCATAGGTTGAAATAAAATACAAACATGCTCTCTAATAGCGAATTCCATAAACTATAAGTATGAAAAAAACCCAAAAATCCCCAAAAAATCCAAAAATCCGCTAATTTTTGGTTAATTTTTGTCTTTTTTCGTTATTTTCCGTTAATTAACGGAAAATTAACGGAAATTAACCTCTGTCCGCTATTAACGGATCCGGGTGGCCACCTCTAATATTGTGACTAATGGACATTTAGTCAATTAGAAGGTAATTATAGTCACTACATATTGCTGTTGGGAAGCAACCTTAGGGGGTTCTTTTGGGATTGTTTAGGGTCGATTGTATTTGGTTACTTTGGAGTTTTGGGCCTACCACCTAATGGTAAAGCATTATAACTATCTAGACAATCTATTGAACAATACTTTATACCGGTTGTACCATTGTATCGTGTCTCCTGCGTGTAATGCGTTGCCGTGGGAACCCGTCTCTGTGCCTCCGACCGACTGACCGGGAAGTGCCCTCCGGGGCACAACACTAGGCCTGTCTTGCCGCAAAGCCGTAATTGCCGGACCAACCTTTATAAGAAGCTGATGGGCATCGATTGCGGTCCCGATCTTCGGGAAACACCGCAGTCGCCTCCTTCCCCGCAGGCGAAATGGGATACGGCATACGCATTATTCGGGGACAATTTGGAATTAAAGTCACAAATGCAGCAGCGATGGTGGGCCCAAGAAGAAGTGTTGTTACAAGAATGTTCTGCACGTATTTATACTCAAAAAAGGGTGCCCCAGTCCCAAGTCCTAGCCACCGTTCGAGAAGCCTCCTGACCTGCAATCCCCATACAGAAACCCCCTGATCTTGCCCCCAAACGTCGCAAGTTCTCCAACACCGGTCCCTAGTATGGTACAACCCAACATACACTCCACACAACCAGCTCAATTCAGTCCCCAACAAGCGCGACCAGTCCCATGCAATCACGTTCAGTCCCAAGTACATCCCTCCATAATGATCGAGCACTCAATTCAATCAAATCAGTAAACATGATGAAGCTGGTAATACCCGCAAGTACATTCCTTAGTTCCAGCCTCAACACTCCATCAAAACGAATGTACACAACTAAAATGGCTCACTGATGATGAATTCCCGGCTCAGTTCTCCATTTCCAGCTCAGTTCTCCGTGCCAGCTCAGTTTTATGTAAGGGGGTCGTACATTGGGGCTTACGGCAAGGGCAGCTCTCCTCAGGTGGACTCCTGGACAATGCAATGGAACAGGACAATTAGTACGCCTTTAATTCACTAATTCTAGGCTGTGCTCAGCAACTCAAACAAGGTTGCAGCAGATCAGATCAACCAATCAAATAACTAATAGTACACAACCCCAAACTGTCCATCTCAGTAGGGGTACTTAGAAAATCGCCACATGCGCACTATATGCCCTCACCGACGCCGCATTCGGCTCATGCTTCCAAAATCGTTCTGCCATGCCGCCATCGTCCCCTGGCTGCCAGCTGCCTCACTCCAACAACTACTAATCAGTCTTCTGTGCCGCCCTGGAGTCCGCGTCAGCCATCTGCGTCCGCGTCAATCCCATTGCGGATCTGGCGGGCCCCCCCAGATCCCTTCCCTCACTGCGTCCCCACCTCCACCACCGACCTCTTTTTTCGGTTCGTGCCTAACCCTCCCTCCACTTTACCGCTCGGCCCCTTCCCCACCTCCCAAGCCGCAGCGCCACCATGAAAACTGCCCTCGTCCACACCAGCGCGGTGAGCTCCCGCCGGGGGACGCCTTTTGAATTGCCAAAGCTCGCCGCCAGCGCAAAATTGCTCACCCAGATCTTTGGCCCTCGAGTTTCTACTGTTTCGATCCCTTAGCTCAGCGACCGTTGCCGCCGAGGGGCAGGTTTCCCATCGTCCACGGGCGCGCGGGAGGCGTGATGCAATTTTGACGGCCGCCGCTCATTGTTTTGCGATTTTAGAGCGTGCCGCAGATGCGGGTGGCGCGTCCAGCGCGGGCCCAGGTCTGCAACGTGCGGGCCAGCGGCGAGGAGCCCAGCAGCAGGAGGGAGGCGCTGGCGCTGCTGGCCACCGTGGGTGAGTGCAGGGGCCCAGCTTTGGGGGTCGAAACATTCGCCGTGCGTCGAGCGAGGGCCGAATCCCTTGTCCCGCATAGGAGAAATTGAACCAACCCAACCCGCACCGGGGCGATTTGATGTTGCGAGCGGTGGTTGCAACCCGCCCCGGACGCCGGGCACGGGCGTTCGCGTCGTCACCGTCGGGCAAGGCAGATTTTGCCGCGGATTCGACAGCCTGCCGGAAGCTTTGACTGGTCCATGCTCGTGGCCGTGCGTTTCTGACTGCGCTCGAAACCCAATTTTCCGGTTTTGCGCGCTGCGCTGTTGGATTTGAGCAGCCGTGTCTTGCACGGATTTGAGTATCCTGCAGCTGGATCAGGGTGGAGGTGGCCTGCAGGCTGACGCTTCCATTACCTGCGCGGCAGGAAAGTGGGGCTGGCCCCGCGTGGGTTGACCCACAGCAAGCATTGACCGCATGCACTCCACACCCGTCAGCCACACGCGGCCCACGTCGCTGTAGCAATCTCCCTCCGCGAGCCAGACTCGCCCACGGGGCACCCGCCACTATTCCCCACCCTCGACGAAACGCCTTTGCCCTTCAAAGCGTCAAACGCGCGTTTCGCCTCCATGCAACAACGCATACTTTATCGCGTTGCACCTGACGCCCACTTTGAATTGCGGGTTGGATCTTCCAACACAACATTGTGTGTCCTGACGACTGTGCTCTTGGCTCCTGTTGCGCAGCCGCGGGCGCGTCGTTGACGCTCGCGGACAAGGCCGCGGCGTTGGTGATCCCCCACCAGGTCAGCACCGGCGGCCTCGGCCGCGAGACCGGCGGGCGCAGCGCCATTGCCAAGAGCTCCACCGAGGCCTCCGCCAGCGGTTACAAGATGGAGGGCACAAAGAAGTACGGCATCAGCGCCTCGCGCAAGGCCAAGCTGCTGGCAGCCGTGCCCAGGTGAAGCGGAAGGCCCAGGGGTCCGTTTTTCAGTTTTGGGAGCGCAGCCATTGCACGGGACAAGAAGCGTGCCGTGTTCGGAGAGTGCGTGTCGGCTTGCCGGCGTTGGGAACGGCGGACGTCGCATTTCGGCTGGGAGAACATTTGACGCCGGAAGAGTTTTGGTGGTGGCCTGTTGTACCATTTTGCGGGTGTTTGGGCGTGTGTGGGCTTGTGCCTGTGAGGAGGGGCGCGCTCCCTTGTGGGTGCTCGAGCCCTTGAGGGCAACGGTGCTGTGGGGCTGACGGGTGGCCTGACTTGGCAACCCAAACCGTGCTGCCGGTGTGAGCGAGCGCCCCTGAAACCATGGCGTATGCAGTCAGCGCTGCAGCCTTGGCGCTGAAGGCACGGGCTTTAATTGCCGGCCAGATGCGCGAGGTCTGTGGCACGTGGTGTGCCCTGGATCCCAAGACCGAGCTGCGAACGAGCCTGCGGCTAAATTCCGACCAAGAGCTGTTGATGCGAAGCAGCGTGAAACCCGGTTGTGACATCTGTCAAGGCACAGATACAGAGCAAGGCCATTGCACCTATAGAAGCGGCGACGGGCATGATGCAGCGTAGTGTCGTGGCCTGTGTCCGCAGCGACGATTTGTTGTCCCATCACTACCAAAAGAGGACCAAATAACACTTTTGCGAACACACAAAAAACACATTTCATCAAAGTTCTGCACGTTACGAACACAAAAATAACCCAGACCCGTAAACTTTGTACACGTTTGAACTCGTGTTATTTGGCCCTTTTTTCGTAGTGCATGCCAAGTCAACCCGATAATAAAATCCGTGTACAGGACCCCAAACGAAGCGAAACGAGGTGATGGGTGTGGACACAGTGTCGGGGGAAGTGGTATGGTCTGGACGCTTGGTTGTATGAGTGGACGCAGACGTTTCTGAAGATTGAGCCCAGGAAATGGGAAAATTGAGTACAAATGAAGATGGAAGCGTTGCACAGGGAGGAACCTCACCAAGAACAAGTTGTGAAGCTGCCAATGTCCCAGCGATGAAATATCCACGTTTCTACGCACAATTCTTACACCACCACAAACCGACAGTCTCCAACAACGCATGTGTATGCATGCAATCGGTCCACACACCCCAATCTGATGGCAGCAGATGCAGACGCGTGTCGCACGGAACCCAAAGTCTGCATGAAAGTTGCTGACCCCGAAGGACCCCTCGAACGCCAATTGTTGTAGCAGCCCACCTCCAGCCTCCAGGGGTGTGCAGTCCCCTATTTGGTGGGCTGGGAACTCACAGTGGCTTGCTTCAAACGCGGCAGGACAGTCATGGGATGACCACAACCACCGGCCTGCGCAACCTTCGCTAAGTGGTGGGAATCTCCAGAAGAAAAGATCTTCTCCAAGCTCAGCTGTGGCTACGCAGCTCTGGACTGCCCTCCTTCACAAGCCCAAGTCAAACGAGGCCCTGTGGCCGCCACCGCTTTCCCCTCTCCGCCCACGGGTTAGCCCTCACCGTTCTTTGTGCGATGGCATCTCCACGCTCGATCACATGGCCGCTGTTCTCACCTCCCTCTCCATCCTTTCCCTACAAGCCTGCAGCTGCCCGACAACCGCATGGCTTCCTCGCCACTGACCAGAGCGGGCAAAAGCTGAGGCTGCGCACCACAAAGCTCAACGGCACAGGGCCAGGACTTTGAGACGGATACCGGCCGGTGCATAGACATCAACGCAGTTGGACCCCAGGAGGGGGGTGGGTGCCATTTGCAACCAGGTTGCTGGCAAGCTGGTGGTGAATGGTCATTCACCCAGGCCCATCCCAGCGACGGACACTGACACAGCGCATGGGTACTAAAGCGTGGCTTGGACCCCACGCGAGGCGCTGGATGCTATGTCCCACCAAATTGCTGCCAATTGGCGGCGAATGGCCATTTACCACCAGGGCTCAGCGCAGCGACGGGCTCCCCCTGTACTTTGGCCTCCCTCACACAAATCCGCCCCATACCCTAACCCCTCCTACCTAACCCCTGTGCCCCGCGCCACGTGTCAGACGCCCGTACAAGTTCGCCCCATTGCGCCTACCCCACCCCCGCCCACCCCTCACGTCCACTTCACGCGCCCCCCGTGCATTGCGCCTTCTGTTTCAGGCGTCCGTGACGCCCAGGGCCCCGTTTCAAAATTTTTCCGCCTGAAGAAACTCCCAAGCCTGCCCCCCCCGGCGCCCTTGGATCCTTCCCAGATCACACGGCGGGCCACTTTTGTGGGATCGAACGCTCAATGCGAGCATCGGCGCGCCATGCGGCGTTCCTTAGCCGGGCCAGGGGCGGCGCGACGACCCGGGCGGGCGGGATGCCGGCGCCCGGCCGTCGGGCACCCGGCGCCGGGCGGGGGGGCGGCCCCGCGGGGGTTGTGCGAAGGGGGGGGCGGGCCAGGAGGGGGGGCCGCCGCGGACGGGTGAGCGAGGTCGGACATCGCGAAATCTGGAACATCGAGGGTGAGGAGGTCGGCTGTTTTGATTGCGGGCGGGAGGCTGACGGTACGGGTGCTGTGCGCGCGCAGAGGGGGACGATGGTGGACTTCTTCAAGTTGAAGGTGGGCCCCGGGAGAGGGGGAGCCAGGGGTTTGTCAATGGGACACTTGGAGTTGAGGGGCTTAGGGGCCCAGGCGCCCATGGAAAGTCTCAGAAAGGCCCTCTCGGAGGCCGGTTTCTGCCTGGCGCAGGGGCGCATTGGCGCAGTCGGCGCATCTTCTTTCGATTTTGAAGGGTTTGTCCTCGTCGCGAGGGATCTGGCTGTGTGCATTTCCGCCCCGTTGCGCCGCGAGCGGAATGCCCCGGTCTCCGGGGGCCAACAGCGGCGCCAGCTGACCCCCGCCCGCCGCCTTTTTCGAACAGAGCAGCTCCCTGCGCAAGTACCTGAAGACGTTCGACATCAAGCACATCCCTCTGTACAGCAGCAAGGAGGACCTCTGCCAGGCGGTTCTGGAGCACTTCGTGTCTCAGGTGGGTGTCGCGTTTGTGCCTTCCCGACAATCCCCCTCCCGTTCGCCCCGCGATTGGCGCATTAACGCCTTCTGTTCGTCCTTTTCTCGCGGAACGCCCTGAAACGTCCTCCCGCGTGGGCCGCAAAGCGCGTTTTGGGACTGCCATCGCCGCGGTGTTTGCGACCGCTGGCTTGGTGAGCCTGCCCCTTGGCCATTCGCCCTGCGCCGGAGGCGTCGGATGCGCGCGAGGGGGCCCGACGCCGCCCGCGTCTGCCTCGGCAGTGGGCGGCCGGCCTGGAGCGCGTCTGTTGGCCTCTTGGGAGATTTCCGAGAACTTTGGGGCGCGCCCAGGTGGCCAGTCGTAAGGCGTGACTCAAGCGAAGCGTGCACCTTCCGCGACTGGCGCATTGTGCTGCGACCGGCTCGGGGAAAGTCGCGATGTGGTTCGGGGCCTCTGCCCTTCATAGTACCGCTCTTGGGTGCTTGAGCTTTATCGCTTTGGGGTGCGTGAACTTGCGCTTTTGGGGAAGTACTGCGCGTTCCCACCGGTTGCTGACACCAGTCGAGGCAACTTGGTGGAGATCTTTGGTCCGGCGGAGGAATTTTTGCAGCATGAAAGAAAGATGCTGTCATGCAGAGGGCGTCAGGGCGCCAGGCCGCGTCTCTCGTCAGCCGTTGGCCATCGTCTCGTCCAAAGCCAACATCCTATCTCACAATCACAGTGGACTTTGCCCAGAAGCACCCACCCACCCCGCCGTCTTGTTGCCATGTGTGTAGCTCAGTGTCGCATGTTCCTGCTCTCGCTCAGAGGTTTCTACGCTATCTTTCACACCAAACACCAATTTTGCTCAGGAGAGGGTGCCCGTTATGTGACAAGTTTTCCACGTTGCTGCAAGGAATCTGTGATCAGCAGTGCTGCGAATAACATTGAGTGCCTATGGCGGACCCTGTGGACAAACTTTGTCGTGGGCCGGACTTGCTGCTGGGCGCTTTGGCAATCTGGGTTTCATTGATGGGGGGGGGGATTGTGAATTTTCTGCTGAGCATTAAAGGAACTCGGAATGTCTGGGTAGAGTAGATGTATTGGAGCCAATGTGGGCTGTTGATGGCTCCACAGGGTGCCCTCCACGGAAGCACAGGGCAGGCAGTTGCTTGCCCAGTCTTTTATGCTGACTCCCCTCTGTTATATCAGTCGGTTAATCCCCAACCCCCACCCGAACAACTGTAGAAGCAGAGACTGGTATCCAGCGAGAAGGCAGGGGAACAATACATTCTCAAAGGCTGGACAGTTCGTGTGGTCCCCAAATTGTCCCGCCTCCACAGTCCGTGTTGTGTCCTTGTATTGCCATAGAATGCATACACGCAGGTGGCTTTAGCATTCCAAAATATTGCATCACATACTGTCGAATCATAGAAGAAATACCTGCAGGTGCATGTTGTGTGACATGTCTGTGATTTGCCCTCCAAAGATGCCACAGCATCCATGGGGCGTTCAGCATCAGTCTCAAGGGGCTGTGCCCATCGACCTATCCAGGGACAGTGCTGTTGTCGTTTTGCACAAATGCAGTCCAAGTATTGTTGCTGAATTTCTTGGATTAGGCTTGTACAGAAACAACAGAACACGGTGCACACACCATCACGCTGTGGAGGACCTGATGGGCATGTTTCCAGAAGAACTCGCCTGCGCAGTCCGCGAAGGCACGCACGTTGTGTAATCTGTGGGGGCGACCAAAGAGCGCCCTATTGGGCAGAACAGGCGGAAGTCCTTGTGCTTGCTGCTCAATCCTGCCCCCAAAGTGGTCGAAGGGACGGAATGACGTCCACTGGATGCGCCTGTGCTTGCCACTCCTGCAAGGTGTTATTTCTTTGTTGCCTCCTGGGCCGTTGACGTTGCACAGTAGCTGCCGCTTGCAGCCACGGTGCAGATTGGCGATCCGACCTCCTGCCTAACACTGTGTTCCCTGGTGTGGCAGCCCGTGGAAGAGGAAGACGTCATCTTCAACCTGGCTTGCAGGCGATGGATGGTGGACGATGAGCAGTGACCGCGTCGCCGGAAGGCGTTGCGGGACAACTGCACGACGATTGGAGGCCGGTACTGGTGGCTTTGGGAAGGGCCTCAGCGATATCCAAGAAGCTGTGTTGGCTTTTGGGTGCGCATCCATCCCATTTGGGTTGGTTGCATTTGTCCCACCGGGGGCTGAGCCCTGGTAGGATTTGTTGGACTCCAAGAAAAAAGGAGATCACGCAGGGTGACCACTGGTGGGCAACAACAACCGCCGGAATTTTAGGGTAGGCGCACACAGCTGTGGGGACGCAGGAGGATGCTGTGGGCGTAGGGTAAGGGGGTGTTAGCGCTGGCGACGCGCCCACAGCGCAGCGTTTTTTTGTCTGTGTTACTAGAGGCGGTTGGGAATTTTTGGGCTTTTGCAGGATGCCCGAAATGATTTGTTTGTTGCCAGCTTCGCCTGCGTCCACGACGGCGCTGGGCAGGTGCCGGCATCTGTAAACGAGACTGGATGGGGGCAAAGGGCATTGGATGGGCCTGGATGGAGCACTGTATGGGGCTGTGCAACAATCCTGCCAAGAGTGTTCTCCTGAGTGGCTGCCTGTGCGTTGGTACTCAAAGAAGGCGCCCAGGGGAGTCGCCACCAGTGTTTCGATTGCAGGCAAATTGGTCTGGCGTTGTCATCCAAATTGTTGTTGCTTTGTCACAAGTGGGCTGGCCAGAACTAGATGCTGAGTGTGGTGTTCGCTGTGGAGGAGACTTTGTACTGACAAATGTCCGGGTTGTACCTTCTTTTGTGAAGTTTAGATCATAATGCGCACACTTTAGCAGGTGTACACTTGTCCAACGAAACAGGATATGTGGGATGCAGCATTGATACTATAGTACAGGAGATAATACTATTATGCAAATGCAACCATGGACGGTCACCCTGGCTTAGATGCACTCCTTTCTGGCACATGCTTGACTCAGATGAAATGAAGCGCCAATCCTGTGATTACATTTGTTGAAATGTGATGAGGCACTGTCCCTGAACCTGCAAGGTGACGATCGGCACCTTCAAAGGCGAAGGACACAAAGCAGTTGTACTAAAGCATTCAGCATCAAGCTGGTGGTCCCCCAAATGGGTCTGTTCATCTCACCAAATGCACAGCAGCATAGCCAGCTGCGCTCCAGGTGGTCCAATCTACTTCAGCCAGTGTCACTAACCCGGCGATGCCATGGCGCCAACAGCACAGCAAGTCTTAGCTGCAGGGGCACACAAAGTTTGTCCCAATCGGTGGTTCCATGCCAACAATGTGCAACAAATATCTCAACAGCACCAATCACCAGCTGCACCCACATTCGCCCTGGGAACCTCCACAGCAACTTTCACCTGCCAGCCTTGGTGCTTGTCCAAAACCTTGACCCGCACCATTGGCACTGATAATGCGGAGGAACATGCCCTGCAGGATGCAACGCCCATCCATTGCACTCACCAATCCAGATCCTGACCCATTCGTGGCACTTGGAACCACAAAGGCAGGACCACGGGTGTTGTCCTCGATTGATCTCCTGCAGGTTGCATGGCTTGTCTGGTATCAGGGCTTCGTGCCTCTGCCCCAGGTGCTGGGTACTGCCCTCTATGTTCAGCGTCTTCGCAAACGTGCAAATGGCACTCCGGCATGACGGTAGTTGACTCATGAGCATGGACGCCAACAGCAGCGACACTGGAATGGCTGGCCGTCGGCAACAATGCAGGTATGATCCAGTGAAGCGCCCATTCCGCAGCGCCCCTTTAACCCCGCTTTGCATCCTGCCAAGTCCCTTGGGCCACAGGAATGGGCGCCATTCCCGTTTCGCATGGAGGCTTCCGCACCACCTCTTTCAGCACGGAGTGTTCCTCACAACAACACGCCCGGGAGGGCGTTGCCGCAGTGCTGGACCTTTGGACCGAAATAAAGACTGTCATACACTGGGCAAAGGGAAGGCTTTCCTTTGTCGCCTAATGCCGCACGAACAAAGCCTAAAACAACCGCCGATCGTCAGTGCGCTGCCACGTGCACGGCAGCCCTCCATCCAAAAACCAATCTTCGGCAAACGGAACTCAGCAGACCAGTGGCGCACCAGGGGCCCCCATGCCGCTGCCTCCGACCCCGTCCAAGACAAATGCTCTTCGATACGCACATGCCACCATCGCCTCCAAGGTGCAGGGGACCCGCTTCGCCCCACAGAAGTCTAATCCCGGGCACTTGGCCTCAGACGCCGCCTTTCCTAACGCCTCAAACAGGGGCCCCAGGGCCCGGGCGTCAGGACCCCGCCCCCGCCAGCGCCCTCTCCAGCTCCTCCGTCCCCACGTAGCACCGCAGCGCCGGCACCTCCACAAAGAACGCCCCCACCAGGCCGTGGCGCACGGGGAACGCCTCGACGCTCAGCTCCACGTTCTCCTCCGCCACGTAGGTTGTCTGGCCCCCCGGCCTGTCCCGCTCGTCCACCAGGCACTGGTAGAACGGCTGGCCCGCACCGCGGCCCAGCCCGCGCACCCCCATGGCCTGGATCCAGGATTCGGTCGCCTTGCATGCCGCGTCGGCTTTCCAAATCACCCCCCTGTAGCGGTATCTTCTGTGCCGGAAAGTCTGACCGGGGAACATCCCACGGCCAATTTCAAGCGCCTCGGCCACGTCTGGAGGGCAGTTATCTGGGATCACCGACTCCAGCCGCCGCTTGGCGTCTTCGGCAAGAGCGTAGGACTCCGTCAGGACGTGATCCACGAGGGACTTCTGCAGGGCGTATTCTGACGCCTTCATCGCATCGAAGGCCTCCTCGAAGGTCAGAGCGTCAGGGGGATCGGAGGCCACCGAGGGGCGGCCCATGGGACGGGCGAGAGGCCGAGGCCGGCAGAAAGGGATCGAGGACCTGTGGGCGGCCCGAGTTGGAGGGGGATGACGGCCGAGGGGTGCCAAGGGCGCCGCGGGGATGGCGGCGGCTGGGCAGGGCGGCATCCGGGTCGGGAAAGGGGGTACCGACGGGCGGCGAGCGCCCCCTTTCGAGGCGCGACCGCGTTGGACCGCGCCGAGGGCAGAAGCCGAAGCCCACCGCAAGTAGGCCCCCCCACAAAGTCAAGACAGGGTCGGGGGCTGGGCGCAACGGAGCGCAGTAGTTTTTTTGGCCGTTTTTTTACCCACAGGCAATTCCGTGCGGCAAAAAAAACAATCTCTACGTTACATCCCGCCGACAGTACTGCACAAAGTACTGGCGAACACGTCAGTTTCCAGGGAAGGTTCGAGGGCCGCCGGTGGCCGCACCCCGCCGCCCCGTCGGAATCAGCCGGATCCGCCCGGTCCGCGGAAGGCGCGTGGGGAGCGCTGGTGCGCGAAATGCGTGACGCGACCGCCCTCGGCTTGCACAGCGTATAAAGGTCGGCGCCCTGAGTTGCGCAGTGGCGGCTGGCGTGTTGTCTGGGCACCGGCTAACCTGTGGACGAGGCGCGCGCGCGAGGTGAGGTCTCGGCAAGGATGCCCCGTCCCCCTTCCCGCCGGAGCCAAATCTGTAAGAATAGCGAAGCTTTTGACTGTCCTGGTGGATGGCTGGCGCCGGTTGGTCATCTGGGGGCGGCTTGGGCCGCCGGCTCCATCTGCCGGGGCGAAAATACCGGCGGGAATGGGCATCGCCTTCCCGTTGTGGGCTCGCTTGTTCGCGGGCTCCCTTGGGAACGAATCGGGGGACGGTTCGCGTGGTATGTGACGGTCGGCGCCGTTGGAGATTGTCATCTGCCACCTCGTGTCGCGTGGGCGAACAGTCAGGCATCCTGGCATGGGTCGCGACAACTGCCCCCCGCCCGGGCGCCGCTCCTTGGGGCTTGGTGCGAGCCGTTTGCCGGCTGGAGGCCTCTCCGCGCGCCTCTGACTCCCGTCCGCCGTGCCCGCCTGGCCGCAGATCTCCCGGAGGAAGGCGACAAGATGCAGCCCGAGCTGAGCGAGACGCCGGTGGGTTGGCGCTCCGGACCTCGGGCACGCATGCTTGCTGGTGCGTGGGTCGCCCTCGTTCCTGCTCTTTCTCGACCTCCCCGCTGACGGATTGCTCTTTTGGGCCAGGACCGGAGGGTCTTCCTCTTCAAGAAGGGCCAGTCTGCCGGCCGCAAGGAGATGAAATGGCTGGTGAGCGCACGGTGAAGCACCCGGAGTGATTGCCAGTCCGCCCCGTCGGAGGAGCCCCCTAGGTCCTTGCCACCTCGGGCCGTTGAGCCACGGGGTCTGCGGCGGCCGTCGCGAATCCGGGCCGCCGATGGGATTGCGCCCATTGGATGCTGGAGCGCCGTGACAGCTGTCGCTTCGCCAAAGTTGTTGTCCCAGAGGGACGGAACGTGTCATGCGACGGGCCCTGGGCCCTGCGGCACAGCGTCCGAGAAGCTCTTGCACCGGAGCGGCGCGCAGAGATCTCGCACCGCCGTCATTTCGAACCGCACTCGAATGGGCCGGCTCTGACTCTGTGCCCTGTCCTGCGCAGCTCGGGGGCAAGGGCGCCAACCTCTGCGAGATGGCGCGCGTGGGCCTCAACGTCCCGCCGGGCCTGACGATCTCCACGGAGGTCTGCGAGCAGTTCCACGACTGCGGTGAGCGCCCGCCGCCCGCCCATCGCCGAAATGCCGGGCTCCAGAACATAGGACAGGATCCGCCTGTTAGGCGGCGGTCAGTCACCTCGTGCACCGCTGTCCGCGTAGTCATCGTCCGCCGGTGCTTCCCTGCCCTCGAGTCGGTCTGACTTTGGCAACGGCAGCGTGAATGCCGAACGGCGCTGGCGGCCTGTGAAGCGCATATGCCGCCTCAGACGCGTGGTCTGGATGGTCCCGTGGAAGCATCAAATTGGATGCCACCCTGGGCTGGTGGGTTGAATTCCAATGTCAGCTCGAGGGCTGAATTCTGCCTCGAGCTGAGCCTGCATCGTTATTTAGTGAATTGGTGTCGGCAGGCGGCGCTTTGCCGGAGGGGCTGTGGGATGAGATCATGGAGGCGCTGAAGGAGGTGGAGGAGGCGCGCGGCCAGAAGTTCGGGGATGTGGACAACCCGCTGTGCGTGTCCATCCGCTCTGGCGCTGCGGTAAGGCGCTCTCGTTTGCATCGTGCCCATCCGCCCGCCGTGTGGCTCCAACTGGAAGCACGCAGGGCGGAATGGGTCCACGAGTCGCAGGGAAGGTGCTGTGGCCGGTGGATTTCCCTTTTCAGAACCAGTCGACGCAATCGGGTTGGCGCCCGGCTCAGAGGCAAGAGTGCCGCTAGAGCGCTGCTTAGGGGAGTGTCAGTCATGATGAGTGCGCCCCCAAGTCTCTGTTCCGGCGGTGATTCGGACGCCTTTGCTCGCAGATTTCCATGCCTGGGATGATGGACACCGTGCTGAACGTTGGCTGCAACGACGAGACGGTGAAGACCATCGCCGCGAAGTCCGGCGAGCGCTTCGCCTACGACTGCTACCGCCGCCTGCTGTCCATGTTCGCGGACGTGGTGCTGGGCCTGCCGCACGCCGAGTTCGAGGAGAAGATCCAGGCCAGGAAGGAGGCGCGGGGCGCCAAGTTCGACGTGGAGCTCACGGCGGAGGACCTTAAGGGCCTCGTGGAGGACTACAAGGGGGTGTTCGCCAAGCACAACAAGGAGCTGCCGCAGGACCCCTTTGAGCAGATGAGGATGGGCATCAACGCCGTGTTCGGGTGAGCGCGTGCGCTCTGTTGCCACCTTGTGCTGCTCCATGTTGGCACCACTCCAGGGGAGACAGGCTGGTTTGCAAGTTGATATGGATTGGGCAAAGATTGATGCGGGCTTTGTGCCCCAGCCTGTGAGCCTGAAGCAGACTAATTCTGCTCAAGTGCCCAGCGGGGAGCCCCGGGAGGTGCATTCCAACCCCCTGCCATTGTGCCACTACGTGTTGATGTCACCGCTGCCTATGGAGTTTGTACACTGCAAGGCCTTGCAGAAAGGCCTTGAAGAATACCAGCCAGATATCTTCACACATGCATTGAGCATACCTGGAGGTGCAATTTCAATTGCTGGCCTCCTGTCAACAGAATCTTGTAACATTCTCGACTCCTGGTGGTGGTATCATCATTGTGAGAGCTATTCGATTTTAAACACAAGGCAGCTGCCCATGAGTCTGCTTCAAACTGCAATCAGGAGGAAGGTCTGCATAAGCAGCGACCTTCGTGCCATTCGCGTGCGTTGGCCTGCCGCTTGCTCAACAGACACGCAGTGTGGAAAGGCATAGTTGCTAGGTTGCTGTTTTTAGCAGAGCCCCAATGTGCATGTGTTTCCTTGGCATACCCCCTGGATTCAACCGATCCATACTAAGTTCAACAGCACATGCAAGAATGGCCAGTGATGCAAGTGCTATGAACCCTCCACAGGTCTTGGGACACACCTCGTGCCGTCAAGTACCGCGAAATCAACGGCATCACGGGACTTAAGGGTACTGCAGTCAACATCCAGTCCATGGTGTACGGCAACTACAACGACAATTCTGGCACTGGCGTGTGCTTCACGCGGAACCCCGCCACCGGTGACAAGAAGTTCTTTGGGGAGTACCTTCAGAATGCCCAGGGAGAAGACGTTGTGGCTGGTGAGTCGCCATGGGCATGCCCCACACCCACCCCACCCCAAATTTGTGTGGGCGCCCTGGACCCTGGAGCACTCGTGTGTCCACCTCAGGTCCTTGTGCCGCAGAGTTGCACGTGGCCTCGCTGTAGCAGCAGGGTTTTGCCAGAACATGGAGTCTGTCTTGACCGCACCAGCTTGCAGCAGTGACTCAAACCCTCACCCCTCTTCCCCTGTTTTGCTAACAAACCTATGATGCTTATGCCAATAGTGGCCGCCTTCTGGTCGCTGTCCATTTCTGTTACAAAACAAGCCCTGACGCCCACCTGTGTCTGCGGGTGGACTTGTGGTCACCTGGTTTATTATGATTTTGCTCGGATGTAATTATGCATGAGCACACAAACATCATGCCCACATCGGACCAGTCTGGCCTGTGGACAAACAGTTTTGCAGACTGCGTTCTTGATCGGTTCAACCCATGTGCTTCAACACATCACTTGTGCTGCTCTCCTGCAGGCATCCGCTTGGCCCAGCTGTTGCTTGGCCTCCTCCAACGCGATGGTGTCCCCTGTTGCATTTGTTGCTGTTGACTATTTATGACTGGTTATCTATTTGTTGTCCAGCACATCCAGGCCTGCAACCGTCACGGCTAACTGGTATGGCAAAACTCCCCTGCAGGCATTCGCACACCCCTTCCCATAGCCCAGCTGCAGGAGAACTTCCCCAAGGTGTACGAGGAGCTGGTGGAGACCAAGGACCTGCTGGAGAGGTACATGAAGGACATGCAGGACATCGAGTTCACTGTCCAGGATGGCGAGCTGTTCATGCTGCAGACCCGCAATGGCAAGCGGACAGGCCAGGCTGCCCTCAACATAGCCTGCGACCTGGTTGCTGAGGAGCTGATCGATGAGACCAAGGCAGTGTGCATGGTGGAGCCCACGCACCTGGACCAGCTGCTGCACCCGCAGTTCGAAGACCCCAGTGGTTACAAAGACAAAGTGTTCGCCCATGGTCTGGCCGCATCGCCAGGTGCGTTCTCCTTCCACACATCGTCGAAATTGCATGGTACCACATCTACCTGGCTGGTTTGTATTTCTTTGTTGGCACCATGTTGTGGCCCTCGAGGTTATAATCTACTGTGATATCAGAGATCGTGACGAATGCTGCTGCTTCCAGTGCCACCTGAAAGTGCCACACAAAGTTCTGAGTGCCACACGAAGTTTTGAGTGCTTCCTGGACCTCTCCTCATTGGGTGATACGTGCACATGCAGGGGTACACAGATGGAACTTAACGTGGGCTCTGTGTCTGTGAAGGTGCCGCCATCGGCCAGGCAGTGTTTACCGCTGAGGATGCCGAAGCCGCCAAAGAGGGAGGGCGCCAGGTTATCCTCATCCGGCAAGAGACCAGCCCTGAGGACGTGGGAGGCATGCACGCTGCCGAGGGCATCCTGACCTGCCGTGGAGGCATGACTTCGCACGCGGCTGTTGTCGCCCGTGGTTGGGGCAAGCCCTGCGTGTGTGGCTGCGAGGCCCTGAAGATCAGTGCCACTGACAAGACTCTGAAGGTGGACAATGACGGCACTGCGATCGTCATCAATGAGGGCGACTGGCTCAGCCTGAATGGCAGCACTGGGGAAGTCATCCTTGGCAAGCAGGCAGTGAAGAAGCCTGCTCTGGAGGGTGCGAACAGTGCAGAGTTTGGGCATCGGAGACCTACGTGATCCTCTCTAATGTAGAAACTTGTCATGGCAGTCTCTTGTGGCAGAAAATGTTGCGAGTACAGTTTATCTGGCATATGGGCATGCTTAATCCCACACACAATTTTATTTCCACTTGCTGGGAGCCATTGAATGGTTCATGTACTGCTCCTACACTGGCTGAGTGCTTTGATATTGATCCATTTACACTTGTGTGTCCCTGCAGTTGGTCAACAGCTGACTTTTTTTATTGTCACAGCCTTCATGGCTGATCATCATGGTGTGCAGCGCACATGCTGGTGCTGGCAGTTCTACCAGTGACCTATCAACAAGTGGATCACCAACAGAAAGCACTCTGGCATGTTGGTTATCGTGCACTTCCCAGCTAACGGCACTGTGTTTTGTCTGTTGACAGGCAACTTGGGCACCTTCATGGCATGGGTGGACAAGTACAGGACTCTTGGTGTCCTTACGAACGCCGACACCCCCGAGGACGCCAAGATCGCAAGGGACAACGGTGCTGAGGGCATCGGCTTGGTCCGCACTGAGCACATGTTCTTCAGCTCACCCGAGCGCATCGCTGCTGTGCGACGGATGATTGCAGCCATGGAGCTCAATGCACCCGGAAAGTGCGTGTCAGGCGCTCCGCAGAGGTTGAAGTAGCCTACTGTAGCGTTGAATTGTGGACCTATTGGAGAGTGTGTGAATTATGCATAAGGGGCACCATCACATCACAACAGTACTATTCTGATTATCGGAGAAAGCTGTCACTCCATGAGGTGGTGTGCTATGAGCAAACATTTTCAGACAAGCAATTCCACTCTGCAGCCATCTGGGATCAAATGGCTCCAGAAGACCACTCAAAACGATGGCCACCACCAATATCAACGGAATATCCCTTGGCAAATCTGCATACCGTGGCAAGTTGGCAGGAAGTTGGCATTGGTTTCCATTCTGTGGGCTCTGTTCAGCATCCCTGGGATTTGACAGTTTCATTCTATTGTTAAGGGATGAGGCGCTCGAGGAGCTGAAGGGGTACCAGAAGCAGGACTTCGAGGGGATCTTTGAGGCCATGGACGGTCTCCCCGTGACCATCCGGCTGCTGGACCCTCCCCTGCACGAGTTCCTTCCCAAGGAGGGCTCACCACTTGAGATGTTGTGCAACCAGCTTGCAGGGGAGCTGCACATCACCTCCCAGGACGTCAAGGTGAGGGCTGCTTGTTGTGTGGTGTTTCTCAACCTGGCTTGTTGTGGCAAAGGGGCAGTCTTTTGCCCAGCTGGAGGTGCTGCCGCAGGTGTTGGGACTTTGGGGTTGGGTCGGGCGTGAGACATGGTCGACAACTAGTAGGATTTTGCTGTTTCCAAGAGAGCGCTGCGATCGTGCGGGTGCACACTGGGACGGCATGCTGCAGTTATACCAAGCCTTTTTCTGCCATGCCAGCTTTTGTTCTGACATTTCCAACAGTGGCACTCTGCTGCCCGAAAACTGTGTTCACGCTCTCTCACTGTCACTCAGGAACTGACAGGTAGCCCATGGCTGCCAGTATGTCTCTTGGTGTGCCTTTGTTGACCACTTCACTGGTTGATTTTTGATTGATTGACCATTTTCCTGAACTTTTGTGTTGTTTTTGTGCCGCGCTGAGTGCCGTTGCCCACCAGAAGCCGTCCCTGCTATCACTGCTCTCTTTCCTGGTTCGCCTACTCTGTGCACAGCTTGACATGGGGCAATGGCACCGCTGCAGGGCCGGCTGGAGGGCCTGGGCGAGGCCAACCCGATGATGGGCTTCAGGGGGTGCCGGCTGGGGATCATACACCCTGAGATCACGGCCATCCAGGTGGCCGCCATTCTGGAGGCTGCGGCTACCGTGGGAGCCAAGGGCGTCTGCGCGCACCCTCACATCATGGTGCCCCTGGTCGGCGCACAGCAGGAGCTGGAGGCGCAGGCCAAGGTCATCAGGAGGGTCGCCAAGGAGGTGAGGGGCCATGGAGTCCTATTGCTGAGCGCCTGTTGCGTTTGGCCTCACAGAAGCAGAAACCTTGCGCATTGCGGGCGATGGCAAGGGCTGCCTTGTGCAGTGATTGTGCTGGCAGAGGGTTACAGGAACAGAAACACCCCCCCTGGACAGAGCAGGTGTCAAGATGGTGTTTCGACCTCCTGCGTGTGTAGATGCTATCTGCAGCAGTTATGCTTATTGTTATGCCTGTCTTCGTTGCAACCCAACGCTCTGGGCCTGTTGTAATCATCCTGTCGACGTTTACCCCCGCTCGTCGCTGCTACTTCATCAACGTTCAGTTGTCCACACTCTGTTGGATGCGCTAATCAGCAACGCAGAGTTTTCGATCGCCCATATTGTGGCATCCACGCAAGGAAAAGCAGTCTGCCGCTTTTTTCTCGTTTTCGTTCATACCTGTTGGCGAGTGCGGATTCGAACACAACCCGAAACCAAAACGGGTAGCGCGATTCCCAGCGCATCGCAACCCCAGCTATCAGCCTTCGCCTGACGTGTGTGTGCATCCCCCCCCCGCCTCCCCTTTCCGTACGGCCCCCTGAGTGCATGTTCTCTTGCCTTTCGTGGTGGTTGTGTTGTGTGCTCCTCTTGTTGCACGTCAGACTTCACATCACCTTGACGCAGCATGGAATGCAGTATGCCTCACACTTGCTTAGGAGGGGTTGCCCTCTTGATGACGCGTTTCACCTCATGGAAAAGAGTCTCACATGCACCTGCTCCGGAGGAGTTGCCCTTTTGATGACGCCTTCCACAGCATGACAGGGAGTCTCCCGGACACTTGCACTGGAGGGGCTGCCCTTTCACTTGCCCGTGTCTCTTTCTCTTCGCATCAAACGTTGCCTGCCTTCCTGCAGGTGTCCGCCAAGATGGGCGCCGCCGTGGAGTACAAGGTGGGCACGATGATCGAGATCCCGCGCGGCGCCTTGCAGGCCCACAAGCTGGCCCAGACCGCGGAGTTCTTCTCCTTCGGCACCAACGACCTGACCCAGATGACCTTCGGCTACAGCCGCGACGACGCGGAATCCAAGTTCCTGCCGCGCTACGTCAAGGACGGCATCCTGGCGGCACACCCCTTCAAGGAAATCGACACCGAGGGCGTGGGCGAGCTCATCAAGCTGGCCGTTGAGCGCGGCCGCAGCACGCGCCCGGACATTGAGCTGGGCATCTGCGGCGAGCACGGCGGCGACCCTGCGTCCGTGGCCTTCTTCCACAAGGCCGGGCTCAAGTACGTGTCCTGCTCGCCGCTGCGGGTGCCGATCGCACGCCTGGCCGCGGCGCAGGCCGCCATCAAGGCGGCAGCCTGAGCGGGCCGCGACCCCCGTTTTGGGGCCGGGGGCACCCCGAGGTTTTGGAGCGGACCTTAAGGAACTTGGAGGTTGTCTCGCGGACCTTCAGGACCTGGAGGTTTCTCGCGGACAGGCCCTGTTGGGCGTCTTGGGGGCTGTCCAGGTTTTGGCGGGAGGCGTTGGGACGATTTGGGTTCCCGGCGAGGAGAATGTGTTTTGAGAGGGCGACTCCGGCTTGAGTTTTGAACAACGGGGGTGGGGTGGGGTGGGGTGGGGTGGGGGTGGGGTGGGTGGGGGGCGCCACATTGGCCTGGATTGTATGGACGGGAAGTCTGCGCCCCGTTACATGGATGCACCTGTGTATGCGTTTATGATGTCTGTAATTCTTGCGGTTCGTCACCGTCCGCATTGCGAGCGTTGGTCTCTGGCTGGACACAGTGCAAGCGAGACCTCCCAATGTGCGTGTGCCGGTGCCCTCTTGCTGAACGCTGCAGTTTTACCAGGCAGGGACAGCATTGGGCCGGGTTCGCAGCTAGACTACTGAGCCACCTGGTTTGACTGTCTCCTCTGGGAAATGGAAGGGGATTTCAGCCAAGCGCAGGCGGGTCCCCACGATGGGTGTTACCCCTTGCCACTGCTCTTCATAAGCACGGTGCGATTCGCATGCAATGGAGTGCTCGGCGTAGATTGCTCACAAGTTGCCTTTCAGGAGAAGGCCATGGACCACATCTATGGGCGAACGGGCACCTTTGCACTAGGCAACAACGACTTGAAGCAACCACAACCCGTGATGGTCTCAGCTGGCAACTGACCTCCGAGAGTATCAGCACAGGGTATGCGTGTCGAAAATGAAGCTGCTGCAGCATGAAGGACGTGGTTGGATGCTGGGTGACTCAAATCCGTTAGCCAGCAGCAAAACCCAACCTGGAAGGCGCAGTATCGCCTGATAGGTCAAGCGACGCTTCACCGTGTCTTGACTGCGACGAATGACAAATTCAACAACTGAGAAGTGGCAAGTTTGGTGGCATCACACTCGACAGATGGTCAGGCGGCGCTGTAGGCAAGCACAGAGCGCAATCAACTTACAAACACAAGGGCACATCATTCAATTAGCGAACCACGCGTCTACGGCTTTGCAGTGACGACTGCTCTCCACAGGCAGACGCTGGGCATGTGTTTCAAACCCACAGTCCCGCTGGCCTCCTGCTCCAAAGATATGCCCGATAGCGTGGAGCCTGTTTGGGAGAACAACGCCAGTGAGTTAGCCAAGGAAGTGGTGTGCAAAATGTCGCAAATGCTGTCGGAAAATGTACCGCCAATTGCTCGGGTACCATACCATATACCCACCATATCACAATTTTCGTGATACACACCTGCACTGCATCAGATGCCTAACCAACTCCACGCTAAACACCACGCTGCTTAGTTTTCTTTGCCTTGTATTCCTAGTCAGTCCCGCAGCTTTAATGTTCGCCAGAGACCTGCAGGAGTCTGGTGGCTCATTGCAGGTGTGTGCCGAATGCCACCCCACCACCGCCGGTCACGACTCGCAGCCAACAAGGACTTCCTCTTGTCATGTGCTCCTGGCAAGACGTGGTCGAACGGGTTCACGAGATCAATGCGGAATAGCGCACAGCTGCACACGGCCCACCTGCTTTTCCCATGAGGTTGAGCTCCACCCGTACACTGGCCGCCGCTGAGGCCTTGTGCCCCCCCACGAAGCCCACGGCAGCCAGACTGTCCATGCCCTTGTTCTGCCCGAAGGCCGCCTTCAGGACTCCCACGCCGCCTGGCGCCACGCCCTTCAGCCGCCACCGCAGCCTGCACTGCTGCTTGCTCCACTCTGGCCGCGGCCGGGCCACAGACGGCACTCCCAGCTTCTCGGGAACGTGGACGTCCACGAAACCTGTGTGCACAGGTCGTTGATGCTCCATTTGGCATATTTATCTTTCATTCCAATATGTTCTGCACCCATATGATCAAATACTACCTCCGTCTTAGTAGAGGAGCTGGAAATTCATCATCCCATTGCAATGGGTCCAATTACGAATATCGTAAACGGATTAAATATTAAACAACTTGAACAGATGCTAAAATTTACATCGCTGCGTCGACTTGTTAGTCACAAGCAGTTAGTGCTGATTCGTTGCAGATGGCACTGATGGTGCGGCGGCCGCCAGCTCTCCACAACAAGCCCTAAACCACGGCAACACGGGAATTCAAAAGTGCAGCCAGGAAGCCACATGCTGAATGCGAGACAGCACCATACACCACGTTCCATGGCTGCAACCGCCAATTTAGCAAACAACTCGGCTTCAAACACGAAATATCCTGTGCTAACTCAATGTTTATCACTGCTCAACAAGAAGTCCTTCACAATTTCACAAGCTGACGCCCAAACAAAACGGTGACAACAAACCGGAGGACTGCCGTCACCAAGCCCATGGTCTCACCCTCAACATTGCTCTTGAGCTCCCGACTGACGGCGTACTCCACCAACACAATCACCACCCCATCCTGGCCCTGCAGCTTGCCAGTTCCGGGCTGCACCCCGCTGGTGACCCGCACCATCACCGGCGCCCCCGTGGCCACAGGGGGCAGCCTGTACTTGAGCACAGGGGTGCCGGGGGACGCCGGGCCCCGCTCCTTGGACAGCCTGGCGTCCCTCAGCGCCAGCTCCACTGCATAATTCCCGTACAGCGGCCCCAGCAGCTTGAACTTGGCGCTTGGGGATGAGGGGAGCGCCGGACGGCCCCCCGCCCATTGCACCTCGCCACTGAGCGTCGCCAGAATGAGGTTGGATGCCCTGAAGTCTGCCATCCATGTTTCCACCAGCCTGAGGACGGGGCCTGACTCAACGGGGGCGGCTGGCGGCCTTGAAGCACGGGCGGGAGAGGGGAATGCGGTGAAGGGCTCAGAGGGGGTGAAAGTGGCGGCGGGCTGCGGCGGGGAGAGGGCCGTTGCGCCAAAGCCCCAGCTGGTGGGGGCCGGCTGGGGGGCCGGGGGGGTGGGCTGGGGCAGGAAGGAGGCGTCCCAGTCATCTGTGGAGCCGAAGGCCTGGGGAATGGGTGCCCGCTGGGTGGGGACCTTGGCCTGCTGGGCGGGAGCGGGGAGGGATGCTGGCGTCGGTTCCGGGAAGGCGTCGGACGTCGTGACAAAGGGGTCCGATGGCGATGCAGTAAAGGGGTCGGGCGATGCTGCAGGGAAGGGGTTGGACGACACTGCTGGGAAGGGGTCAGCCGTTGCAGCAAAGGGGTCATCGAAGCTGGGGGAGGGCGATGGCTGGGACGACTGAGGTTGGCTCGGCCTGCAGCGCAAACCATCGCCAATGTGATTGTGCTGCACATTGGCAAGGGGTCCATCTGGTCGGCCTCAGACATCAAAGAGTTAAGCAATGTTCTGGCATGCAGGTCATGGCTTGAATAGTGTGTGTCACTGGTCCAGCCCTTAGGGCAGTGCATTGTCGTTCTTTGGCAACAATTGACCAAGGATTGGCAATATCTTTGTTCTTTGGCAACACTGGGCGAAAAGATGTATGTTCAGTTGCGAAAAGGCAATTAAGTTGCATCAGCCCGAGCTGCCTGGCAGTAGCTCCTGAGGTCAACATACACCATTCTTAAGTGAACAATATCTAGACAAATGCAGCGAACACAACAGCTTCAACAACGCTGAGAAAGATGCGATGATCCTGGGAAAGTCCATGCATTCAAGGGGTCATGAAACCGTGCACAGGAGGATTTTATGACCTCATTTCTGATTCAAGACCCATTGTACCAACGATTGCGACTGAAAAGCACCCCATTCCTGAGAACAAAATCAGCCTGAGGGGGACAGGGGTATGCCCTTACTCTGGAAGCAGCAAGTCGTCCAGGGCAGCGAACGGATCCACCGCTGGCATCTTTGGCTGACTGGCCCCCCGCTGAGCGCTCAGCAAGTCGCCGAGCTCTGCCAAGCCAGTCGAATCTTCCTGGGGCAGCACTTCGCCACGGGGCGACGGTTTGGAAACATCTCGTGGCGTCTCTTGCCGGGTTGCCACAAGGTTGCTTGGCTGTGCCTCGTCTGGCACTGGGAATGTGAGGTTAAGGGCCAGAGACTCCATTGTGGTGAGTTTCCTCCTGGCCTGGCCCTGGCTGGGAGCGGGGGCAGCTCTCTTCGGTTCTGGAGCTGACCCCTTGCCCTTGCGGTCCTGATCGACATGGCATAAGGCTTTGTGAGCATGTTCTGACTGCAGAATATGGCATCACATCACATTTGTCCCAACAGTATCTGAGGTGTTGGTGTTGATCATCGGACAAGGCGTATCAATAACTAGAAGCATCAGCCGACTGGCAGGGAGCATCGCGTGCAATCTGTTGTTGTTGCTGTACTACCGACAGCAGATAGGTGTGAAGTTCAGCATCGAGGATGCAGTTGATGCCAACTGCACTGACTTGACATCCCTTCCAGTCAGGAAGGAGCAACAACAAAGAACGAGTCACTCGTTGTACACTTGGCCTCACAGTGCACCAGTTAGAACAGTCCATTGCATGGGCTTAACAGCCAACTCATTGGCAAGAAGCACATCACAATACATGCATTTAGAAAACAAAACTGGAACGCGTCCCAACCAGAAAGAAAAACATTAAGAAAGAAAAAACTGGAACGTGTCCCAACTACTAAACAATTACATCACCAAATAAGCCCCACCTTGGTGTCAGCTGCAATCGTGAGGTACTGTGCTGCCGCTTCCACCTGGGCCTTCTCAAAATTTGCTCCTCGAAGAGACAGGACGGCCCCCAGTAGTAGATATGCCTGTCAGGGTGTCCCAAAAAGAAAGCACATAAATACGCAAACAATACAAAGGAGGTATTCGTCAGTGTAGGACGATGAGCTGATGAGGGGCGTGCCAATCGAAGGTTCTGACTGCGGTATAGTGAACAGACATTTTCTGAGACATATGGATGAATTCCACGCCACTGCCACATCTGGCTCACGGGTGTTGTCTTGGCACTGGGGAACAATGTTCGCATTTGGAGGCTTGCCATCAATCTCCAATCCTCAGCAGAAATTTGGTTTCTTTTCTTGGGTTTTGGTTCCTTCGGAGTGGAGAATGCATGGCTGCAGGGAACAGACAACATTGTGGTATTATGTGTATTGCCTGGTATTGCGTATTGGTGTTTTGGAAAACACTGCAAGTTCCAGAAAGTGTTGCAAGTGTGCTCGATTCCCACACTCTTGTGATGGTGTCGCCACGTGATTCCATCCAACACAACAGCACAATACATGGTAAAATTCTGACAGCATGCTGTCCCCTTTGGCAGCATTGATCTGGGCTGATGCGACATCCTGTTAGAGAGAAAATGGATCAACTTGACACTCCCGGTGTGCTGGCTAACCTCAACCCAGTGCTTGGTGAGGACTTCTCTGGTAACGTCCGTCTGCTGGCAAGCCCTGATGAGGGCCTTTGTGGCTGAGTCCACAACCCTGCCCACAACGAAAGGGTTGGTCCTGGAGGGTGCCATTGCAATCACCCAGACTCGATTCACCAGTCGGTACACCGCAACAAACCTGCATCAAAGCACAGCCCCACTTTGATATATCACACCACATCATTCATGGCAGATATGCACTGCATCACAGCAGTCATGTCTATGTCACGTCTGCATACCAAGAACCCTGTCAAACTGCATAGCTCTGAGCCCTCCAAACAGGGTTTGCAGGCTTGCACATGCATTTGCCCACAATCTGTATGTTCTCCTTGCTGGCATTCCATTGGGATCCTTGCCTCTAAACTCAGTAGCAAGGGCCTGCTTGGTTCAATGGACAAAACACTGCTCAGCATGCCAAAAGGCCTGTCACATTGGCAGGGCAGCATTCCCAAAGGATCTCAATGTACCAAAATGAATGGCCTGTAAGCAGAACTCACCGTCCATGAGCAACCTGCAGCCTGTCGTAGCTAAAGTTCGGTGCATTGTCTCCAGTTCTGCAAGGCAAGCCACAAGCAGACCATCAGCTGCCTGCCAAATATGACGCCAAAGTCATGTGGGGCGGAAACCCCCAGCAAACGTAGCTGGATGCAGATGCAGCCAGTCTGCCCATTTGTGACGTCAACATATCCATATCCCCCAACAGCAGGTGGACAGCATAAGGGCACCAGTCTCAAACATGTTGACAAGCATGGGTGCTGTTGGAAAGAATGGAGACACTATGTCTTCTGTGTTCATGCTCCACGTCAGCTGCCTGACAGCAGCAACACCAACAACTCCCCAATGTGTAGAGATTGCGGTGGGGCTCCATGGGCAGATACAATTCGTCTCTGTGCCTGCACACTGTTTCTGATAGTGGCAGAGCACTCTGCCAGCCACAAACCCCTCCTACAGGCATCCCAGGGATATGTTTTCTTGCCGTTGCTGCTGCACTCAGTGACTGCTCCATCATAGTCTCCAGTACAGGGGGCCAACTCTTCTCTGTGGGAATATGGACATCATCGCTCGCAAGATGCGCAGGCCATGCTTTGTCCAATTGGACCACTGCAGTCCAAGAACTTCCTACCCCAGAAAGGCAAATGTTCCCACTGAAACTCTTCCTTGGCCAGGGGCCCAATGTACAGCACTTCCCGTTTCTGCTGCACAGCAAAAACCTTGGGGTGCCACAATCTGCCAAGTTGAGACACAGCTCAAAGACACAGCAAACAGGGTGCATCATCCAGCCAGCGTTTCAGTCCTTGCCCTGGGTATGCCGTCTGTTCCTTTGGCTTGGCTGTTTGCATATCCTAATTCAAATCTGCAGCAGGGCTTGGTAGACTGCAAATTTCGGTAAAAAGACGACACCACCAATATGCAGTCACAAACTGTTTTCGTGCAACCAAACAGGTCTTCTTGAGAGCTGATCTTGTCCCCCCACCCCTTCTTCCACCATAATAAAAGTAACATTAACCACAAAACGCTGCACCACAATAATCCTAAACGCAGCCCGATCCGCACAGATCCCCTTCGGGTTTGCACCCTCCCCACCCACGTCGCCAATTACAGAGACACGTGCTCAGCTCGCCCCAACCCGCCATCCCCAGCATTGGCGTTTAAGATGAGAGCAGCGGATCCATTTGCTGGCCTGGGAGACTTGCTGCTGCCAGAGCACAGGCCAGACCCCCGCCCGCCTCAGGCTGATCCTGCCGGACGTGTGCCTCCAGGCGAGAAGCCCCGTAGGTGATCGAGGATCCAACCGGGGTACATGGCCAATCACGCGGCGCCCGCCCGTCGCGCGCCTCACCCGTCCACGTCCCCTCGCCCCCTCGCCACCGCGAACTTGCCCATGATCGTCACCACCTCCTCGGCGGCCTCCTGCACATCGTGCGCCACGATTCCGCGCCTGCATCCCACAGCCGACCGGTAAAATCAACTCCAATCGGCGCCATCCCTCTCCGCTCCCAATGGCGCCACCGCGTCCGGCCGTGCGCGGTGTTGGTGCCATCGCGGGAGGCAGCGGGCAAGAGCTAAGCCAGAAAGCTTGCCGGTGGCCACCCACGTGTGCATCATCAAGTTGCCGCCCCCCCTCTGGCGCACCACCACCGCGATCTTCTGAGGCGCCACCATGCTGGCCCCTGTGTTGCCGCGCGAGGAGGGACAGCGTCTGCCCTGCAGTGGGCGCCGAGCCGACTGGGCCAGATGCGGGGCGGGTCACATTTTTGGCCGATATCGAATCCGATACGGGCTATGCACACCGCAGGGTTTTAAACCCTTCCGCATCGGGAAATTGTACCGTTACGCTTTTTCTCCGCATTTGTTTTTCAGAGCGCCATTCTCAATATTTTTACTTTGCTCCGCCAAGATTTTATTAAAAGAACATTACTTGTTTTATTATTTTCTCCGCAAAAACGGCCAAGCGTTACGTCACTATGCGGAAGGGTTTAAAAACCAACGGTACGGGCACGGTGACGGAGCTACGGAGACCGGAGACGGGTTTGGGATTGGGTAGCTGGTCCTTGGGGTTGTGCCGTCCTCAACGCGCACTCAGCAGTTCTATCAAGCGCATCAGCTTCAGAATGTTCGATGCACCCAGAGCAACAAGAAGCATTCCACACCTGTCTTGGAAAAAAGCACATCAGCGCTTTGTAGATCATGCGTGCTTTCCCGCGAATAGAAATATTATAACGGGCGCTCAACGTGCCGGGCGCTCAACTTACCTGGCGCACGCTGGCCGCGCAGTGCACCGCCCGCCAGCAATTGGATCGATGTTCGTTGCTCAAGAGGACCAGGCAAAGGCGGTCGGACACTTTTGTTCTGGGAACGGAAACGGAACGGAAGCCAACGCGCAGCCGTGTTTTGCACAGAGTTCCGGATGGCTGTTGTTGGACTTTGAGCACAGGGAATGGTACAAGCCTTGCCCATCGCTTTGTAATCGAAAGGGCGACGCCCCGCAGCCTGCACGACTGGTGGAGTTCCATTTGTCGAGCCAACGTGGTGGCGGCAGCAACGTCGACGTCCCCGTCCCTGCGGTGCGCAGCTGCCTGCATGTGTTTCCTCCAAGCCAGTGTATGCTGCACGGAAATTCTGGACAAACATTGTGGAGCAGCCAGTGTGGAGGAGTTGTGTGCAGTTGCAGGTGGTTCTTGCACTTGTGATCAGAGGACTGACTCCCCTTGGGCTTGGTTCTGGAGCATCGGCAGGGCAGGCCAGCATACAGACCCTGCTTGACTGTGGCCTGCTGAGGCCCGATCTTCTCCATTTCTGGCGTGGTATGCATCAAAACCAGCCAACAACTTGCCTCCATCGACATGGTGCCTACACAGTGCAGCTTCTCATTTTCCTTCCCTCTGCTCCCAAGATTGCCTTGATCACAGGCACAGCGTAGGGGCAGCAAGGGTGGGATACTCTCCAGGTGTCGTGCAACCATTGCTCTTTAGTTGCAGTGGTACGTCAATTTGGTACAAACGCAATCAGGGGATCGACACGGGGCAGGAATGTGGGCGGCCCCATTGCCGCGGCCGAGCAGCAAACATCCTGGGAAACTACCATTCACAGGCACTGGTGCGACTCTCGGACACGCACAATTATTACAGACAGTTCCACACTGACCACGAGACACAGGCGTACCGAGCCACGGGCTCATGACCGCCACGACCGCTCCGCGTTTGTCTTCCAGACGACGCGGACCAACTAGGTCAACTATGTCTATGCACAGAAGGCATTAACCACATTTGTACAGGTATCCCAGCCAAGAGCAAGCACGCAGGCAACCCTGCGGAATGTCACACAAAGTCTTGAGCTCACAAGCCTTGCCTTAGTTTGAGGAGGTGGCGCAAATGAAAAACGAATCTCCTGTGAAACAATTCCTCTCGGGCGGTGCCAATTAATCCCTCCAAAATCCCGCTCCCAGAGAACAGTACTCCGTGCTCACACCGCCGCCCCGCCCTCCCCTCCCCTCCCTTGCCACACCACCATTATTTCGCGCCATCATCCCACCAGAATCCCGCAAAGAACCCCAAAGAATGTCAAAACCAAGTGCCTTCAGCAGGCAGCCGGACAATTCGCGCCTACCGCCGGTCGCGAGTCAGCCCCAGGCCCACGACTCGACGGCGCTCTTCCTCTTGGTTGTTCAGGCCGCTGCCGATCCCCACCGCCCACCGCATTCGAGATCGTCCGACGCTTCGCCACCGACTCAGGAGCATGTAAAGGAGTGTGCCGTTCACGGTGCTTGCCCATTTTATCCCATGCCTCGTCCCTCCCAGCAGAACGCAGACCGCACGCCTCACGCGGCGCCCAAAATATTAAGAGACCCCTCCCCTCCCGGCTTCCCGCCAGTCGCTACTGACTACAGAAATTCGTAAACTCCCACCGACGTCAAAATGAAGCCAAAGGCATTATGGGTACACCACCTTAACACAGGACGGCCACCGGCGGGGGCGTGCCAACAGCCCCGCGCCCACGCGCCAGCGGCCCCCCGCAACCGAATCCCACGTTCGCCGCGCGAACCCTAATCATCTAGACGCACTACACAAAGGCTAAAGACGATACACGAGAACATTTTTTTGTTCCGACAGCCGCGCGGGGCACGGAAGTCGAGTGGCCCCGCGATCACGCACCCCCGCTCGATCCCTCCCCTCCGGCCGTCAGCGCCCCCCAGGCCGCCCGCTCAGCCCGCCAAAACTCTCCGCCTGGCCGCCAGCCCGCTCTCCGCCGGGATGCCGTCCCCCTGGGCGCACCTGCCGGCCTCCCCGCCCTCCCGCCCCTCGCCGATCCTCGCCGACTGCCCGGGGCCCGATCCGCCCGGGCAGCCGAAGCTCAGCCCCTCCAGCATCGCGGCCGCCTCCTCCGCGCGATCCCGGATCCACTGCCCGTCGCCGCGACTCCGGCCGCCGTCGCCGGAGAACTCCGAGGGGGTGCTCAGCCGCGGGCGCTTGCCCAGTCCCAGCGCGCTCTCCCCCCACTCGCTGTTCATCGCATCCCCCAGCCGCGTGAAGCTCTGTGCCTTGGACCTGTAGAACCGCGACAGCCCTCCCCGCCGCTTCTTCATCCCTCCCCTCTCCAACCCGTCCAGCGCAAATCCCGCTCCAGGGCGGTTCACCACGGATTCCGCCGGCATGGCAGCGGGGATCCTGACAGGCGGGACCCGCTGCTGGTCACCGCTGCGACGTCGCTTGGCGCTCGGCGCCGTTATGGCTGCCTGGCTTCCCTGCCCGCAGAGTACGCCCGACATTGCCACGCACGGAACCAGTTCCGGCCACACCCCTGCTCAAGTAGCCCCGCAGCCCTGGCGGCTAGTCCCGGGTGGGCCCGGCTCACGTGGGGAGCTTTTGGGATGGGGAGGCGCGCAACGTGGCGGCAGCGCGACAGGGGTTGGCGGAGTGGGAGGCCAGTCAGCGCCACGGGAGGCCACGGGGGAGCGGCGCCGGGCGGCGCGCGGCGCTGGGGCTGACGCGGATCGGCACGTGGGTGGGCCTTTTCGGAAAGGTCCGGAGAAAGCCGCAAAGGGCTGTGCGGGGAGCGGACAAGGCGGAATTGGGAAATGGTGGACAAGTGGGGCTGCGTTTGAAGGGGCTGGAGGGGGAGAATATGTTGGTCCCTTTCTCTTTTCCACGAGGACCCCTTCTTCTTCCGCTGACAAGGCCAGCGCCGGTCGCTTATAGGGTTGTCCGAAACCAGAAGGGATGTTCACGGAGAAGACAGAGCAAGGGCCCGTTGGAGACCGCCAGCCCGCTCCAACCCAGCTGCCCTTCGCCACCATTTTGTTCCAACAATTCGTTCCTCGCCATTCCAAGCCCAGGCTTGGAGCGGCGAGGAACAAATTACTGGAACACACCGCAGACGCTGGGCCGCTCGGGCGCAGTAGGCAGCTGGCGGCTACCTCCTTGCTCCTTTGTTGCGTGCCGAATGAACGGCGATGGTGGTGCGGTGGGGATGGTTGCGTTTGGTCTTTTGTGGCAATCGAAAGGATGTTTTTCTTCGATTTCCAAATTGTTGCGATTTCACTTCAGCGTTCGGGCCCCTCCCCCCTCCTGTCACAAGACGTACGGGCCTTTGGGGCCTCAAGGCTTTTATCGAAGGGGTTCGACAAGGGTGACGCGGGGATGCTGCGCGGCCAGCGGCCATCTGTTCGTGGCGACTGCTGGCTGGCGGGTTGCCCAGGTCCAGGTGTTGCCCTGGCGCTCGCGAGTCGCTGGAGCGTGCCGTGCGCCATGGAGCCGGTCCTGAGCGCACACGATCATGTGCCTCATCTTGATGAAGACAGGCCATTTGCTCGGTGGCATCGATCGTGATGGACTACCGGCTGCTCGACCTGTTGATTCGGAGTTGATGCTGCCTGTGATTCGAATAAAATTCAAACTGTAGGCAATAAATAAATGTCGCGTTTGTGGCGCGCTGGTGGCAGCCAGCGCCAGACCATTGGCAAGGCAGAGTAAGGCCATATTGCGAAGCTAAGGCATTTAATCGGTGGCATCGATCGATTGTTGGCTGCTGGATCTGATGCATCATCGTCCACGCTGACGGTGATTCGAAGAAAGAATCAGAATGAAGACAACAGACGAGGTTACATTTATGGCGCGCAGGTAGCAGACAATCGATTGGCTGCCATGATGGGATATCCCATCCCGTTGGTAGGGCCATATGGCGAAGTGCACAAGGTAAGAGTTCCAAAACCCGTTATTAGCGAGCAAAACGAATCCCTTCTTTGCAGTCCATCTAATTTCATATTGTGCTTCGTGCTTTCGCCGTTGATGTTCCATAAAATTGTTTTTCATATTTGCATACAATGGGTACCTGTATTCCAAAGACCCATTGCAGATTGCCGGTGACAATGATTTGGATGGTGCAGGGACCGTCAGATTCGCTGTGTTCATGCATGGCGTGAGTTGAGATCCCCCAGTGGTTGTCGTCCGGGCGGATGGTTTCGATTTCGGTTTCTGAGGCGGGTGTCGTGACACCGGACTGATCAGTCCCAGGTCGAGCATTAAGGCTGGGACAAAAACAACAGTGGCTTGTGATGCGCTGTACACACGATGGTGTGCTTCCATCGGTCATCACCATGACGTTGCATTGGCCTGCGCTGTTGACGCGCAACAAAATAGTTAGCGATTGACCGGGGTCGCTGCAGAGAGCCGCAGTTCTCTCCTTCAATTTTGAGCGCTTGCAGATGAATAATCATTTCAACTCAAACGTTGAGCTTTCGCATGATGTACGTGGTGGGGTACGGCAGGTTGGGTTCAACTACAGCCGTTGCTCACGTCCCTAGCTTGACCAGCACCCCAATCCGCAGACGACAATGTACATGGAAAATGGGTGAGTAATAATGCATATCATATACATTACTTCATAAGGCTCATGCAGCACTTCACTGCCTTAATGGTGCCAGGGCATATTCCGTCCGAGTGGATAAGCCCAATCAGAGCATCTTTTCAATGTGTGCCATGCCAGGATAGACTTCAAGCAGTCAACGACATAGAACACGGACATCACAGCTCATTGTGGTCACAATGTGCCATAACCTTGTTCCAAAACCGTGGATTTTCTATTTCAGAAAAGAAAAAATTCTGCTGATGAGCACTCGGATTCTCGGTTTCACCGCCGCAGCGCCTTTGGGGCTTCATTGGCCAAATGTATTTCTTTCATTTCTACTTCAACTATGTAATTGAATATAATTGAAGCCACATATCGGGAGTAGCAGGTAAACTTACGTCCGCCCTCTGGCTCGCATTGGCAAAAGCGCCCATTAGCACAGCTTCAAAACGCACCAAAATGGGACCAAATGAGCAATGTTAACCACGTCCTTAGCGCCATTTCCCCCATTATTGGCGCGCAGCGCCTTCCAACCGAGAATGAATGCAACGGGGGAGTGCGAGGCCGGCCCCTTGACCAGGATTCACCATCGCGACCACCATTTTTTACAGAACAGGGCAACGAGGCAGCCGTCAGCTTCCTATTTCTTGTCTGTGATCAGTTCATTGAAATCCAATGTAAACACAAATAAAATCCATGCATTTATTAACTCCTAATGGCAAGAAGCATTCGGCATCGTGCTTGTGCCCTAGTGCTCCATCCGCCTCCCACATTTGACAAGGCGCCTCCCCTATGGTCGCAATGGAGAGTCAGCATCGCCCGCGGCCCGCCACGCAAAGCCCAGCGCGGCACACCGCGCCCCCAGGACGCCAAAGCCACTCTCCGCCTCCGAGTTCCCATCCGCCCGCGCCCTTGGGCGGCCAAGGCGTTGGCCACTGGCCTCGGCAGACGGCCAAGCCAGAAGGCCGGGGAGCGGTGTCGGCGAGGGCAGACCATTCCAGCGAGCAGCCTGTCGCAAAGCCGGGGCTGATTGACTCATGGCCGCCCAGGGAGCCGCCCTCCAGAACCATAACAACGAGCTCGTAAAGTGTGAGTTGCCGAGACGGTCGCGAAATCGGTCAACGCGCCCGCCTGTCGCGAGGGGCTTTGCGAAGCTGCGCAGCAGCGCCAGAATAGATCTGACGTCATCAAAGATGACGTTCGCGCCGCTTGGGGCGCTGGGGGGGGCGCGGTCTGGTTAACGGACGCGCCTGCAGATCAGCCTGATCTGGCGGCGGTGGAGAGGGCCGCGGGCGTTGCGCCAGCGAAGCTTCCAGACAGTTTCTCGCCAGCGGCTTAGCTCGAGACGGGAGGGTGAGGCGATTCCTTGGTTGTTCTTTGAGCGCTTAGTAAAAGCAGCAGTCGCGGCGGGGCGCTTTGTGCCCTCACCAGTCTCGGTTTTTACGTCTACGTTTGCGTTTTTACGCTTACGCTTTTACGCGCCAAAACATAAATTTGCGAAAGTGGCTATTTTCGCGTCTATTTTTACGTTTTTATGGCTGGTTGGGACAGCCAGGTTACACGATGAAAGTTGTGTGTACAATGACCAGTCTTCGGCCACATCCAGCACCTGCATCACAATGCCCACCTCGCCCTCGGCAAGGACAACGACGGCATGCATCAAAAATTCGTTCTCTACCCATTCCGGCGCGTCTGGCTGCCACTCCCGGACTCCCCAAGTCTGTATTTACTGTTCTTATATACATGGCGCTGTATTTACGTTGTGTTTACTTATTTTTAAGTGGCTTTAGGCGTAAAAACGTACATAGGTTCAGTTTTTGCGGCGTAAAAATCAAGTCTGGGCGTCGCCTCAAAGCTCTTGAGAATTCATCGAACCGGCCATATGTTAATTTTAAACGCAATTTAAGCTACAAAATGTCATCACCTCTCGTTGTGCGAATCTGTTTCCAAGGAGGCTGAGAAGCTGGTGTTCCACGCGACAGGTATCGAGGATCTGAGGGAAAAACGGGAGGAGGTGGTGAAGCAAATGAAAGAGGAAGAGGGGGAGAAATCGAAAATTCAGCAGGATCTTCAAATATTAACCAAGAGGCTGGCGCACATAAACGATTCTCTGGCCAGAAAGGTGGGTGCACGGGGACACCAATTGAATGTAAGTGTGTTCGGGGCAGAGATTGAAATCTGCCATGATCGGCTGACGTTTGTCGCCTTGCTCAGATTCAGATCACGCCGCCCAGCCTGGCTCACGAAGAACAAACTGATGCAGGCGCAGGGCGTGCATAATTCAAATAGAGGCGGGCTGTGAGATCTCCCTGACTCATTTTGTCCAATTATTTGATGCAATACGAGTACACTGCGGGGGGTGAAGGGGATGGCTGGCCGTGTATCTGTATTCCGTCTGATATTTTCAAATGGCCCAGTTCTGTCCATACCTACAATACCATGCTTCAACGCAATACATGCCCCAGGAATTCCACCACTGATGCTCATATCAGGAAAATAACCTATAGCGCTCTATCATAAGTCCATGTGCCATATGCCATCGTCCGCGAGGATAATGGAGGCTGCCATGTCATTTGTGAACGTTATGTCGCCATCTAGTGCCGCCGCAAAACTCCCTGCTGTGCACCGCGCTTTTCTAAGGCCCTCTCGATATCTGCATCACAAGTTGTTTGGTTCAGGTCACCTCTGAATATCTTCAGTGCGACTATCATAGTGATCAAGGGGAGTCGAAAGGCCAGAACTTCTGATGCCCTTGCAGCTTTTGCTCAACGCAGCTTCGGGACTTTAGTTTTTCGCTCTTTGACGCTCTTGAACATTTGGCGCATCAAATGCCCGAAGTTCATAAGGAACATCACAAAAGCTTCATCTTATCCATGATTCGATTCCATTGACTACAGGTTGGCCTCCAATCTGTGCAAGCGATGCCTGCTGAGTAGGTCTTGTGAAGCGCCCAACCCCGAGATCCTGTCCCATTCGCAGTGCCGTACAGCGCGGCGCAGAAGTACGGAATGCTTAATGCCACGCATGCGTGTGTGGCACATAAGTTATGTAGCTTCTGCATGAGAAACACAGTCGCAATCAAATCAGCGCGAATATCGCGCTTGCGAGGAGCCCTTATCAACAGGAAGAAAGGGACCAAACAACGCTTTTTCGAACACATATGCATGCATTTCATCAATGTTCTGCATGCTACAAACACGACAATAACACAAACCCGTAGACTTTGCACACGTTTGAACACGTGTCATTTGGTCCTTTTTATCCAAGTGCACGAAATCTGCATCTACAATGCTCATCAAAAGACCACCTGGCATTCGGTTTTACGAATCTGACTGCTGGGCCTCCGCAGATAGACACGCGAAACGAGTTCGACAAAGTCATCCAGGAGACGGAAGCGGCGTATCTAAAGATTCTAGAGAGCTCGCAGACCCTGCTGACGGTCCTCAAGAGGGAGTCCGTCAATATTCAGAAGAAGAGACAGGCCAGCTCTTGAACCAGCCAGAGCGCAGGGGGGAAGTTTCTTCGATGGACGGGTACAGGTGGTTGCAATGTTGGGTGTCGGCGTGCGCAACCAGGCTGGCACGCGGGGCCACCGTCTGTGGTCAGAACAAGCACACACCACAGCACTGATTGCCCGATGACGCTCAAGTCAGGGCGGGATTTTCGTTCACATAACTGTGTCAGATGGTGGTGAACAAGCGATGGCCCCTGATCCTGTGTAGTTGTTGGGGGGAATGTGCGCCCACAGGTAGTCTTTGAGTTGAATTGGCGGTAGTGAGCGGCAAGGCGATATTGCAGCTGATCAGGGACGAGATTTGAGTAAGGAGCGAAGTTTCCTGGTCTTATGTACATCACTATTTGCTGTATTTTCGCCCATAATGGACAATGGGGATTTGTGTTCCGCTGCACTGCCGGTTTAAGGGTTTTGCTCGCTTCAAGTTGTTGATATGAATTATCGCACTGGCGGTGTTAAGGTATCGCCCAATGTCTAACGTCAGAATTCTTGGTCGAAATGTTAGGCTGCTTTGGACTGACGATTCGCCTTAGTATTGAATTTTCTCGGTTTTGCTTTTGGAGCGGCATGAATTTAATGAAAAAGAGGCCAACCCATTTCAGCAGCTGTTGTTCAAAGGCAGCGACAAGGCCTTTGCAATTGACTGGAGTTTCTAGATGCTTTTACATTACCGTGGCGCCGCAACCGCTAAACGCCCAGCTTGTGAACGCCGTGGTTTCTATGGGAAATTCTAAAGTTTCGTTTTTTAGCACCATCTTGATATTGAATGCAGAGGCGACGCCGCGGGTGAAATTCTCGATGTCCGGCGGGCTGTCGCGCTCTTCCCGTCCCAACACATCCACCATATTTTCTCATCAAAGGCACCTGTATGCATTTTACACAAACATCAGTTTTGGAAGCACGTTTGAAAGTAATTCAAAATTCTGGGAAACCATATTCTGGACATATCCTGAATATGTTTTCCCAGAATTATTAATTACTCACGTATTACTCCGACTTATCGCCGTATTATTCCGAATTACTGCCGTATATACGGCACTCACCTCCTGGATATGATATCCATGTTCTAGTCGACGTCCGAAAATGTGATGCTCTTGTCAACGCATCGCCTGCGCAATGCAATAGGAGGTTTTTCTGGGACTCGTTGCATCATATGAACGTGCCATACATCGGAGACACGCCGCCTCGGAACCTGCATCAATTTGAATAACCGTTGCCGGTTGGCTGTGCTTTGGAGCTCGCCCTGTTGAGCCGTGACTGGTTCGTTCCCTTCCGAAGCTACAGCGACTCCAAATTCAATCACCTCAGTTCAAAACCAACGCTGACATATTTCATTCCGCCGACCGACAGGCGTCAAGTTAGTTATTCCCAAGCCCGCGCTTGCGAGTATGGCTCAGAAATATCTATCTCCACAGCTGACCTTTTCAGGTTTTCCGCTGCACGACTCCGCACCTTGCCTTTTACAGACCGACTTTTAAAGCACGTTCTTGCGTTTCTCTCTTAGCTTGTTTCACTTGCTTGATTTTGCTTTAACACGGATTTCGATCAATAAGGGTACATTGCTGCTCTCAGTGGGAGGTGCGTTCTGCAAATATCGCTAAGAGTATTCGCTCGTAACGCTTGGAGCTGAATTAATGCGGGACTCAGTACTGAGTGCGTTGGCCTCGGGCCACACGGCGGGGCCCTTGGCGCGCAACTGCCACAGTGTCGAAGCTGTGGGAAGGTGTCGCAACGACACCTTCCGCGCCGCAACATCGCACACATAGTAATATATTAAGTTTCACTAACGGCGGGGTTTCAAGCCCCTCTCCCCCCAGGGCCTGAAGATCCGGATCTACAGGTGGATCCACCTCCACCCTCACCCGGATCCATCAGGTTTCAGACCCCAATCGCCGCCACTGACCAGGTCAAAAAGATGGTTGACCAAGTCAAAGACATGCTTCCGGGAGGCGGCGTCGAGCTGTCGGCGGCTCAGGAGGAGATGGGGCGCCTGACGAAGCGGCAATTTCCGATCGACATCGTGTCCAGGAAGTGTCACATGGTCGGCGGAGGATGCTTAAGTACTGCGGCGCCAGAGGGCGGCGGAAGGCGGGGGTGGCCCGTCAACGAGTCGCCGGGCGCCGTCGTTACTGCATTGGACAGGGACGCCATGGTGGGCATGCATTTCTGCATCCAAATGCAAAAACCCATGAGCAGAAGATGTCTTCGTTGTTTGAGGAAAACATGCACAGTATTTCCGAGCCTTGCAGGCCGTCACACTCAAAACATGAACCACTCTCAACCACGGCTCTGGTTGCAGTGGAAAAAGTGGCTGGACAGAAGCCAGCCATGTTGTGCGCCGCGGCGTATGCCTGTCGAACACCTCGTTTAGCCATTGCTTGTGGTCCGTCAATCTTCGTCTTCAGACGTTGGTTGGAACCGCGAAGGCTCATGAATTGAACGTTACTAATTACTGAAAACAGAATCATTCCAAACAATGGCGGGTTCTTCTGTGAGCGGTTATTCTTTATTGTGAAGTCCATTCCCACAGATTGGCCCCAGCTTTTCCGCAAGAACAAGAACATGGTGGACGCGCATTCCCCCCCGGTTCTTTCACCAGTGCAACTGCAACTTCTGCATGTGTTGTACCGACCTCAGCTCTGCTTTGAATTTCCCGAGCAGATGGCGGCAACCATGAAGCGAAGCATGCAAGAAAGCGGACTGTACACTCCGGGAAAGGGCTATTTCGCCCAGACTGGGGGCACCGCGCCATGAATCAGGGGCGCACAGATCCCGTGAAGTTTCTGGGGGGTGTCGGGGCCAGCCTGCATTCCTGCTAACCAGCTAGCAGTTGGCTACTTGACTTCTGAGGGCTGCCAATACACGAATGAGTCCATTGCGCCTTCGGGAAGCTTGTAAAAACGACAATGTCTTATCGACCACAGGTCCTCGAACGCCCTCGGGGGCGTCTTTGGAGCCCACGGAGCACTGTGTTCTCGGAATTGAGAAGTTCACATGAAAAGCTATCGAAAACCATGGATAAAAAGGAAAGTCAGAAAGACCGGTTCTTTACCAGCATGTTGACATAGCTGCTCGCTACAGAACGGCATTCGAAACCAGTAGTTGTGTGACAGTCGTGCTCGGCTACCTACTTTGCAATTTTGCGAAGCACAAACGGTTCCTCCGCACTGCGTGCGGCCAAGCTAGATTCGTAATTGTGTACTTGCCCAAAACGGGAAGCGGAAATTTTTGCCATCAACTGTAAGTCAAATTAGAGTAACCATGGCATAGTGCAGCATATCGTAGCACAGTACAGTGCGATGCAGTGCAATACAGTAGCTGGCAGGAAAGTGCACAATTTTCCAGCGCAGCGTTCCGCCGCTGTGTCCAATTGGTCTCAAGCAGGAACCTTCCGACATTATCAGCTTCTGTATTTGCCGTTAGTCTTGCGCCCTCGATGTGTGGCACATGACGGACACGTGGTGGCTGGCTGTGTGACACACCATCTCACAACATTTAGGCTTACTACATCGTTTGCCTTTGAGGACAGTCAAGAGGCGAAGCGTCGCATTGTGCATGATGGCGGATTGGATAACGGCAGGCAATACCCAGCGCATTCAAGGGCAGTTAATGTAGCCAGGCTCAGGATTGTATTTGGAAAGCTTTGGGGTAAGCATGCTCTCCAAGGGCACAAGCTGGTAACCAAAAGCTCGCAGGATTCAAGGTGACGTAAGAAAACGTTGTGCGGGGCGTTAGGCGCGTAATCGTCTACAAACCTTGCCGTCCAACGCGCTAGAGCAGAGATTTGTCCATTATCATCGATAGCTGCAATAAAAATGGCCAAGTGGCACTCGCCAGAAACTTGACTGCGGCCGCAAAATCTCAAAGAACATCGCTCAGATATACGCCCGAACTGTGCGCACGACCTCTGTAAGCACACCTCCGCTGTGTTTTGTCGATTGTCCAATTCACTAAATTGAACTCAAACTGCACAGCGCTGCAAAATGTACTGAATGTGTCCAATGAAACTGGGCGCCATTGGAGGAGCTAGTGCAGGCTCGCTATTTAGGAACACTGCTGTACACTGACACCACCATTGTGTCGCGTCGGCAGCTTTGTCCACATCCCGATATCAAATTTCAGATTGCAGTCCACCGTGCAAACGCGCGCACCTTTTCCAACCCATTGCCCGCCCATCCCACTTCCATTGTACAGCTCTCCTTGGGAAAACCCCCCACTGGGCCCCAAACCCATCTACTTCCCATCAAGCAACTACAATCATATCGTCCGCCAGGATCCCCCCTCACCCTACACACGCATCCAAGGCCAATCTCTTCCCCCTGCTGGCTTCCGTCAAATGGACGCAGGCCAAGCAGTGACGTGTGCTCAAAACTTCTCGGTGAAGGGCCTCAGATCGATTTCCACCGACCAGGTGGAGGGGTCCTGCGTGTGCAGCTTCCAGTACTCCTCCGCCATGGCGTCGGGCTCCATAAAGGCGTCCGCCGGCCGCCCGGGCATCATCTGCTCGGTCCTGGGACCACGGATGATGCCGTCTACGATCACGTGGGCCACGTGCACGCCGCAGGGGTGCAGCTCGCGCGCCATCGTCTGGCCCAGCGACCGCAGCGCGAACTTTCCTGCAGCAGAAACGTGTGGGTTAGGCGCGCTCTACCTGTAGGAAACCGCGCATTTTGCGCATTTAAATTCTGTATTCACGCCTTGTTGCGCTCCTGAAAATAGTGTGCATCAGGGAAATCACTGAAATTTGTGCCTGAAAACGGTTCCGACAACATCATTCAGCAATTCGTTGGTGATCAGCACTTTGGGTAGATTTGCTGACATCAATCGAGATTGGCCATCAACCCATCGCAGTGCTGATACGATAAAATTAACAAAACGTGCTGCAATCGTCGCTTGCTCCATCCACGGATGTGAATATCTTGCATTGACGAGGATGGCAGAGCGCAATCTGCTTTCTCAAATGTGGGAAAAGAGCTGTTGCTCTGGGAGCCAAATTCAGAGATTTTGGTTCACGCGTGGACAAAAACTCGGTCAACTGAGGGCGGAGTTCTCTTGGCCAATTGGCAATGTTAGATGAATTCAATTATCAGCATGAGCAGGGGCAGCATTGGAAGCACAATCAAGGCAAAAGTATTCTTCGAACAATCGGAAATAGATGGCGAAAACCCAATGGTAGAATGACCAAGTTATTGAATCATTTAGGGACTGAGGACAGCGAGCATCTGAAGCAAAATTGAAGAACAAAGTGCCAGAGAGGCCTGTGTGCCCTCCGAGGAGCCCCACCTGGAGAAAAAGCGCAAAAGTTCTTGCTGCCTCGCAAAGATGCCGTGGCCCCCGTGAGAAGAATGGTGCCCTTCTTGTTGGCCTTCATGTGCGGGATCACCTTCACCACCGGACAAAAGAAATGTAAAACCCTTCTTGACTGCATGTGGCAAGAACCCAACACAGAGCTCCGTGGTTTGCTTGCTATCCCTATTGCACTCAGAGACTTTGCACCTTCAATCTGTGGATCACGGTCTGTCAAGAAATCTTGCCCAGGGAGCTTTGGACAGAGCATGACCCATTTCAGTAAAGAGGTAAAGTAAAAGTCAGTAAAGAGGGGGGACACACAGTGCCTGAACAGGCAGTGACTCCCAGAACCAAGTCAGGGTTCGAGAACCACGACTGCAGGGGCCACTGACAACGAGAGAGCTCCCCAATGCCCCAAGGACACTGTTGTGGTGTCACACAAGTACACAAGTCAGTCCAATTCAAGCAGTGTCAGAGAGCCCTTTTGCAGCCTGGCCAAGCTTAAAACGCATTTCTGCTGAAACTCTGCAAGGCTCCTCACCTTCTTCGCCCACAGGAAACCTCCCACAACACAGGCATCCAGGCTCCTCCTGAAGATCTCAACGCTGGTGTCCTCCACGGTGGGCGGGGGCCAGCCGCCAGAACCTGCACCCCCAACATTGTAGCACAGGACAGATGGGTGTCCGAGTTGTGCTGTGATGCTGTCATATGCGGCTGCCACCTGCAGGAACAGGATGTTGAAAATCAGTGGGCGCAAATCCATGCTTTGTGTTTGTCATGGCTACCAAGACGTTGACAGGAATGCGTTAGGAAACAGAGGAACATTTTCTGTCCTGAATACTGTGGCCCAACGTGCCCCCACAGCTGCCCCCACCCCATCCCACCCTTCCCTTTCTTTGGTGCATTCCTATTGCACTGAATGCTGAGCGGCACTCTGTCTTTCACCCCGCCTTAGAAATTCCACACTGTCTCTGACAGAATGGCACAGATTCTCACAGTCGCTTACAATCACGCTTTGGCCCAAAATGCCCATGCCATTCAAAACATAATTAGAAATTCAGTAGTAGAAATTCAAGAATCTTGCATCTGGCATGAAAAGGAGAATCTCAAGTGAGAGTGCCCAAATGTCCTTTGCTCACATACTGCATTGCAACATGCAGGGAGCAATGGAGCCCAGCTTATTTTGCACGTTGTATCTGCATCCTTAATTGGGTGTGTCATGTGGTAACTGTGTGGGCCCTGCCCTGTCCTGATCGAATCACCTGTCAATCCCCCACATCCCCAAGGCCATGACGTGCCCATCCACCCACCCCAGTATTGTACCAAACTCAAATTACTTTCTTCTTTGAAGACGCACACAGAAGCCAACGTGTGCATAATATATTTGGCTGGTCGGCATGCCCAGCTTAACCAATTGATGCCTGGGTATGTCCATACTTACTTGTGGCCTGAGCCCTATACCATTTGGAACAGACTAGGGAGGGTCTGAAGCTGTGATCCACGTTGACCACCTTACATGAACAAGACAAATGAATGTGCTTTGCCCTAAGCAGGTGATGTCAGGCGAAAAAAACAGAGATGATGCAAGGCCTTCCGTGTCTTGCAGCCACTCAGCAGCCCCATCAGCTCCAACTCCAGTGGAGCTCATTCAGAAGAAGAACGGAAAACCTGGGTGAAAACAGGATCTAAAGCGCCCCAGCAGTCCTAACTACTAACCTGCTGCTCGTCTGTGGAGTCCACTGTGAAGCACTCTGCCTTGCCGCCTGCCTTGTCAATGTCCGCTTTGACTGGTGTCAAGGACTCCATCTTCCGGGAGCACAGTGCCACGGCGAAACCACCCTTTGCGAACCGCCGAGCCAAGGCCGACCCAAGGCCAGGGCCCACGCCCACAACCACTGCGACGCCGGCCATCCCTGTTTTGAGGACAGACACAGATTCTCAGGAGAACGTTGATGGGCCTTTCTGGGGGAGAGACTTCACAGTAAACACGCAAAGAGGAACCAGCTCTGATTGGACAGAGGAAGAACACCATCCGTTAGGGACGTTCCTTGTAGCAAGGCCTTGATCTGTGGAATTATCCAGCCTGCAGTGATGCATCGCTTCTGGGGAAGTGTTGCCAAAGGCACTCCAAACCAGGTCACCAGGGGCCAAAAGCGGACTCTGGAATTCACTTGCCGTCCTGTCTGGATCCACCTTTCGTTGTGCGGCTCTGGGACCCGCGGCTGTCCTGTTCCAATTAGGTTTGTCCCTTCTGCCCCTTGGACGTTTCCGCCTTCAGGAAAAGAGTGCAAGTGCCACTTGGGGCATGACAATCCAAATCTTGTACACATTGCACAATCGCAAATGCTGGACAGAGAAGCTGTGCTGCTGCATGTTGTGTTTCCCTGCTATCTCACTGACAACATCACGTTGCGCGAGGACATCAGGTTGGGAGCATCAGGTTGTTCAGTTCGGGCGCTTCAGGGGACAATGTGCGAGTGACATTGTGTCAAACTCACGTTGTGTGAGTGACACCAGTGACACCATTCGGACAGTGTTTGTGGACAGACATCCGACTGGGACCGAGCTGGACTACTTAAGAAAGAAACGCGACATGCAATCGCCGTCAAGCACGCCTAACGCACGGTACATGCAGTTCAAGTTGACCACGACGGATGCGCGCCAGGGTGGCCTTCCCAAAGGTGTCAAAACAGCCAATTTCGAACTCCGCTGCCGAACAAGAGGCGCCCCCAAGACGATATCCAGCCAGCGCGGATCGCATCATGTCAGCAGGTTCCGTCGCGAGTCTCCGCTCGCGGCAAGCACGGTAAGCGGATCACCACGGCCGCCAAGTCACCCCTCCTTTGGAACAGTTCTCGCAACATTGGGGCCAGCGCCGAATGGCGACGGCTTGCAACGATTGGCCACCACACGCCACCACTGGGCCATTGCCACGGCCAAAAACCGGCTAAGAATCGCGAGCCAGCGCCCGCATGGCCACCTGACCTTCCTGGAAGAAGCTCAAGAGAGAAACACTGGAATCCACGTCGCCAGAATCCCGATTGCTGAAAACCAGCCCGTGATAAATCTCTTACCGTCGTTCATCAGCTGTACCTTTTGATATCTCCTGTTAGCCTCCTCCCCCTTCTCGATCGGCGGCCTCGCGACGGACCTCGAGTCGCCACGAGGGCCAGCAGCGGGGAAGGGCAAACAACTGGGTCGAGGCCTGGCGCTGGGGCCCGGGGTCGTCGCTTATGTACTGCGGTCGCAGTGTGACGAGATCGGGCCACCACGGTGACGTTTCCCATCGTGATGTTACAAATCCGTTCTACAGCGGACGCTCGCTCTACTTAAGGGCGAACAAGCCATTACGCACAGTGTCACCTAACATAAACGACATCCTGGCTGCCTGCATGTCATAGCCGCTGTTCTACTCCAAAAAAACTTGTAATTTTTGTCCGAAAATTCCTTTCTCACTCCAAGGCACTTGCCCTGTTTTACTCCAAGACTGTTGGCGCATTGGCTTGGCTAGGGCACCCCTGTTGTTCTTGTTCGAGCACCGGCTGGCTTAAGAATAAAATATGGGCTTGTCGCCACAGTGTTCCCACCAACGATAGACCGCAAAGCATGAAGCACAAAGTATATATGCAGCATACAAGCACACTACAGAGCGAAGAGGATTATTGCAAACTGTGCTGCTTGCTAATGTCCCTGTACAAAATGTACTGAACGCAGTGGAAATTGATTCTGAAGTGACGTTACAAGACGAAAATCAGAAAACATGCGAAGAATGAGGAGGCGCGACAAGGGGCCCTCTTCAAGTCTTGAGGTTCTAGAACTTTTCATCAAGACCTTTCATGGAACGTGTTGCTCACCCATCCAGAGTCCGTTGCAACGGATAGAGCCGTCAGTTGAATTGGAAGAAATCGAGAATAAAGTGCTGCATTCTTGACTCGTTGATTCGAATCGCATTCAATTTTGGCATCAAGAATGCGCCTTTTCAAAGTTTTCTGGTGCATTTCAGACACATATTGTGTCCCGCTTTTGCACCCACCAAACATATCAACACCTACTTCTTGGCCCTTTCCTTTGTAGTGTTGTGCGTTTTGAGCGTTGAAAACTCGCCATTATATCCACGCAGGAGGAGACAAGAGCGTGGCATCGAAATCAGTATGGGGTATCGCACATTTGAAGGCCGTCAGCGGCCTCATTTTTCCATCACAGATGGTGACACGCATAGGCGTTGCTTTTGCATTGTGCACCACGTAAAATGTTTCAATCCTGCTGCTAAAATGAACGTGCATGGTTGCCCAAAGGCGATGTGGTGGCGCCCGAGCGCTGTTGCAATGACGGCCTTCACTGCTGAGCTGTTTGCAGACAGTTCCTTGCTGATCGCGTTGCTTAATTTCATTTGTGGCGTTGACAACTTGGCAAGTGACAAGCATACGCTCATAGAACGCGAAACAGCCTCGACTTTCTTGCAGTACATGCAGACAGGTGTCTGACGTTTTGAGCGTCCGTAGCATCCCCAACAGGTGCGCCTGCGTGTCTGGCGTCATGACAACCGCGTCGCTTGCTGTGCCCAATCCACAGGGAAGGTGCGCCAAGCCGGATTTGGCTCAAAACAGTCCGCCGCCGAGAGGTCGCTATTGCGGGCCCGCGACTGTAGTCGTTTCTGCCAACCTCACCCAAGGATTATCTTTCCCATGGAGAAGTCATCATCATCATCAAAAAGTCTTACATATTCAGCAAGAGGTGGCCTGCATAACGTGGTCATAACGGCAGGCGCACTAAAGGCTGACCAAGCGAGCACCTCTCCCGTTTCTTGCCTCCCTTCCGGCTTTGCGGCAAGCCCTTGGCCGCTCGCAACCGCTGGGCCGCCCACCACGACCTTCCCACCGCGATCACGATCACAGTCCGTGACATCCAGGCAGTGATCGAGGCGCCACTACGGCGATGGTGGGCAGCGCGGTGATCGTGGGCGTGGGGCCGGGCCTTGGCGCGGCCCTGGCGCGGCGCTTCTCGAAGGGTGGCTACCCCGTGGCGCTGTGCGCACGGCGGATGGAGAGCCTGAAGCCGGTCAAGGAGGCGATTGAGGGGGAGCAGGGCAAGGCCGGCTGCTACGCCGTGGACTCCACAGTGGCATCTCAGGTGAAGTGCCTTTCTGGCGAATCTGGTACAAGTCGAGTACTGTGGCAGTTGAAGCGCTCGCGCGTTTGGCAACGGTTTGGTTGCAGCGGAGAGCCAGGTTGCGGGCGGCTGGTGGTGGAGATTGCGGATTTCGCTGCTGGGTTATCGGGGAGTTCTGTTCAGCGCGGGTATGCATGAATTTTGGCGATGCGTCGTTGCTGGTGTGGGTTTCTTTGTCCAATTTCCGAATTTCTGGCTGGCGTTGCCATTTCCAGGTGGATGTTTCAGTTGCAGACTGCAAACTGGTCTCCCAGTTCGCTCGAGCTGGTTGTCCCAAACTGCCAAGTCAGCTACCAAAGTGCATGTATACAACACACGTTGTCCAAAGTAGGGTTTCAGTTTTGTGTGTTGTGACAGTACAACACGCTTCTTTTCTGTCACAAATACAGCCATCGCCATCCTCAAGCCATGGTCCAAGAATCAGTATTGCTACAGAACCGCGTTAATGCGGCCTCCTAGAGTGGAAGATGCTTTGCAACAGTATGGAAAGCATGTCATAACCCCTCCAGGCGGACTACCCCTCCAGTGTACAACACAATTCGAGGGTATTTTCCTTCAAAACTGAGGGCACAGGAAACAGGCAAATAATCAGCACACAGCAGTGGGTGTGGAACAAGACATGTGCCCTCTAGCGTGGTCTGCAACGATCTTTGGAATGCGTGCTGAACTGACGACCTGTGATAGGTTGAAGCCGTGATTCCCCAAATCACCAGTGAGCTGGGGCCCCCAGAGGTCTTGTGCTACAATGTCGGCCCAAGTGTTGGCCATGTCTGGCCCCCACCCACTGTAGAAGAAACTTCCCTGGAGAAGTTCAGGGCTGGCCTGGAAGCGGGAGCGGTGGGGGCTTTCCTGTGGTCAAAACAGGTATGCACAGGGACGTACAGAGGACAGCACTCCACGAGAAATCTCGAAATACTTTGTCCATAGTAGATGCATTGTCACACATGTACTGAGGACAGTTTTGACAGTGTGGAGGGCAGTTGTAACAGTCTGTCAATGGAAAGATGAGCCTCACAATCGTGGGCTTCAAAGTCTACCTCAACCCAGCTTCAAGTCTCTAGTCTCCACATCCCTAATTGGCAAATGAGGAACAACCTGATCCCAAGAGGGAAAATGCACAGGTGGCATTGGCTGCCACTCATCAGATGGGACTAAGAGTCTACAATTAGTACCGGGGATCATCCTTGGATGAATGCCGCACACATATGGTTTCAGTAAAGCTGCAGGTGACCTCTTCCAGCAGCAACTGCTGCAGCCACTTTGCTAAATGTGCGCCCTGCAACTCACTGGGTAATACATCTTTAAGTTGATGGCAGACGCTTTTGCTTCCATGCCATTCTGGATCCAACAGCATTCAGCAGTATGCCCATGTTCTGTGACGTGCCCGCCTGCTTGTGTCTGATCTCCCTGTGACCCTGGCCGAGCATGTGGTGGCACCTTCTTCCGTCCTGCTTCTTTGAGAATCGCCCTCCAGGTTTGCCAGACATCGGCGATAGTTTTTCAAGTCCTGGCCAATAGGAATACTGAGATATTCACCCCAGGTCACTGAATTGCAGGCAATGTTTGCGCTGTCTTGGCACAGGTGATACCATCGATGAAGGCCAACAAGAAGGGAACCATTCTCCTCACTGGGGCAACTGCGGCGCTGCGGGGAAGCGCCAACTTCTGCCTCCTGTCCCCAGGCAAGCAAAATGTTGGCAGTCAATCGCATTGGGGACAAAAGCCAACGTCTTGAAAGTCTGTCCGCTGCCACCTTTATGGTGATGGCGACAACTTTCAATACGGCATTGAACATCCGCTCGGAAGCCCAGTCAATGGCAGAATGGAAAGAAAACACCCCTGAATCCAAACACAAATGCCATGAAAGGAAAAAATGTTGACCGCATCCTATGTGAGAATTGAATTCGTTGACATAGAGAGGAATTATCTCGATATGGAATTTCCTCATGAGGAACGTCCTCAATATGGACTGAAGATGCTTCACATTTGTGGCCCAACACTGTACATCATAGTGTACTGTGTCTCACAGTTTCTGCTTGTCCCAGGGAAGTTCGCCATGAGGTCCTTGGGCCAGACGATGGCCCGCGAGCTGCACCCACTGGGCATCCATGTGGCACACGTCATAGTGGACGGGTTCATTGGGTCGCCGATCGTTGTTGAAAAGAATCCCAACAAGCCGCGGGAAGAATTTTTGGACCCGCAGGCCATGGCAGAGGAGTACTGGAAGCTGCACAGCCAGCACCCGTCCACCTGGTCCTCAGAGATCGACCTCAGACCGTTCACAGAGAAGTTTTGAGCGGTTTAGGTCGTCTTGCTTTCAGTTCGCAAATATCACGACACAATTGTGATTTCAGCTGCCACCCTCGTCCTCTTACAGCAGATGGTGGCCCATGTCACATCGGTGCGTTTGACTGAGCTGGCTGTCCGCTTGGTTGCTTTGCACGTTGTGTGCTGGCCTGGGTGTCCACGCTTTGCTGCAGGTCAAGTTATAATGCTTTGATACAAAGGGGAGTAGACGTGGACGGGGCCAACCACGGCAGGGACAGTGAATAATTGTTTCGATATTCTACCGTGGTCGTTGCCAATTCGAGCGTAGATTGATGAAATCGTTTGTACTGTGGGTGCCTATGCTTATCACTTTGGGTTTCTTTCCCCGCTGCCAATCTCGAATGCACATTAGAGAGCTCCTTGATACAATTGATGGCAGTACTTATGCAAACTGCAAGACTAATTTGGTGGTGGACATCGATGCTTCGCGGTGATGAGCGCTACTGCAAGTTCCTTGGGAACGTTGCACAATTGAAAGCAAGACCCGAAATTCGGAAGGCGACGAAGTGCTGCCATATAGCAAGTGACTCACACATCTGCTGACTGTTAAAAGAAAGCAGAATTCAAGGACGCGGGGGCGGGGACACAATATAGCGTGTGCCTTGTGAAACCAACAGGGATGCCTTATTCTGGAGGCATGTGTGTCAGGAAGAACGGCCATTTGTACACAAGATGAAGCGCTCTGAATGACAGTACGCCACTGCCATTAATACGGAACCAGCAAAGTGCCCCTGAAAGACGAATGAACTGTGTGCAAGCCATAGGCAGTGCTGGTAGAGAGCTCTTGTACCTTGCGTAATAACATACCAGCAACTGATGCATAGCGAGAATCGCCACACTGAGCTCGATAATCTGTGAGTAGGTTAGGACGCTGGTCCCTTTTGCGATGATGCATACAGTAACTGGGCTTGCGCACTGCCAACACATACAAAGCGGTTACAAGCAAGGGCCCTTTTATACCCTGCACCGGCACCCAACATTGCGTGGACGCCTCCTTGTCGCGGTGTCTTTTGAGCCCGTGGTGTCGGGTGTTCCGTGCAAATGCCCTGACTTTCGGCACCAACACCCCAACTCACAGCCACATTCCTTCATCATCTGGTCCAAGAGAACTCCCAAGAGCAACTTCTTCCACTTATACGGAGTGCCCTCCAACCGACCCACCGTCTTCGCCCCCAGTCACATCGCCGCCTCCGTGCCATGCAGGAGAAACGAACCTGTTGACGACATTCACAGCAGTCTTTTCTCCCAGGTGCCCGAGCCCTGCCACTTCCACACCCATGGGCACCTCCAAGAACCCGATGGCGGGCCAGCCTGATCATTTCACGAAATGACCATCAGATCAGACGATGTGTCGCGACGAGAGGAATTACAAGAAATCCTGACGCGCCGTCAGAAACCAACAGTTCGCGATGGCAATGCACAGCCCCAGCCACCACGCAACGCAGTTGAATGGAGGCCATGTTCTCAGCCATGGCCCCTCGGATCTCAGCAACAGGCAACCAACCGCCCACTCCCACAAGCCCGCCTCCGCCCTTAATCCCGCAAGCGTCTCCCGTACAACACGTCCATGATCGCCACGACTTCGTCGATGTCATCAAGGGACGCGCTGCCACGCGAGTTCCCTGTCTCAGGGGTCTCCGGTCTCCCATTCGGGCCAGCGACCGACGCAGACAGGGACGAGCACGGTGGCTGCAAACGAGCGTCGGACGCCTGCCTTTGGTGCAGTCTGCTGGACGCCCTTTCTGCGTGTCTCAGCCGCTCCGTCAGGTCCCGCTTCTCGGACACCAACGCGTTGACGAGTTTGGCCGCAAGGCCGCGACTCGGGGCCATGGCAGCGCGGCCGGCGGTCGTCGCCTTCTTGGTGTCGGAATGTTGCGGAGCCTTGGGAGCGGACTGCGCCTGCTGGAGCTTCCTTTTGTTCAGACTCATGGCGATCAGCGCGCGTAGGATGCAGCCTTCCAGTTGCAGGAATTCCCGACCAACCGCGCCGCTCAAGTCAGTGGTGTGCTCTTTCGTGGAGGTAGGCTGGTGTGATTTCGGGGCCGCGGGCGTGGTCGGATTGGAGCTGTGAATCGACGGAAAGTTTCTGCTTTCCTTATCGCTGCAGTCGTTTGTCCCCTGCCGCCTGGATTGGTAGTCATGAAACGCGTCCATGAGCTGGTCGTGAGACAGCGGACAGAGGTCTGACGACCGAGCTGCATTTTCGTCATCGACGACGGGTGCAGAAGCTTGAAGGCTCGATTGTTGTCGATTGTGACACGCGCCCAGCACCCCATCGAAGTTCTCCGATTTCCTTCTGCATCCTACGGCTTTTGTTTCTCTCACAGTGGCAGTGCCTCCAACATCTTCAGCGGATGGAATTTTTGGATCGCAATCAAGCCCCATGCTGGCAAAGTACTTCTCACGCAACTCCCGCACAAGTGCCAAGCAGTCTTCGGTAGTCCGAGCTCGCGATTCTTGCGATTCCGTAGCCCACAAGTCTCTGTGGCTCTGTAAATCAGCGCATGCAAGAGCCAAGGATTCTCTGAGACGCTGTTCTTGGCGACTGTGCTGCAGTGCAGATGCAGCGCAGGCGTCGCGTTCGTGACGAAGCGTTTCCTGTTGCGACTCAAGATCGGAGCGCAGTGTCGTCGAATCCTTCAGTTCCTGCAGGCATCCCCAGCTTGTCCTTCATTGAATGCAGTGCGAATCAAGGAAGGCTGCGTAACTTGCAATCATTCTATTCAAAGGATCGCAAGATGATGTTTAAATACGTTGGTGCAGTACTTTGTTGAAGACTGAGTCAACTTTGCCACGTTCTACATCACGTTTTGGGGGAAAGGAAGGGCCGCGTATGAAGACTGGGGATTTTGGTGTTCATTCGCGATGAAATTTGAAATTCTGACACGGAGTTATTCGCGAGGGTCCAGGCCTTATAAGCTGCTAATAAACTTGGTGACTCACTCTAATAAAGATTCAAAGCGAAGGCCAAGGCTTCTCCACTACTGGCACTCAGTGTCATGTGAATTACAATGGCAATAACGCACTTGTTTGCAGCTCTCCAGATCTCCCGTCAGTGTTTCCACTTGGCGTTGCATTTCCTCCGCCGCCTCGCTTAGCTCTTTGTTTTCAGTTGACAGCTTGGCTAACCTTGTGGACGCCCTTGCAAATTTCGCCTTTTCCGCGGTTAAAAGATTTTGTGCTCTCTCGCATTCTGCCCTCGCATCTTTGCATTCTCCCCTAGAACACCGCGAGGAACGAGGGAGGTACATTTATGCCATGCTGCGATCAACGCCAACATTGTGTGGATTCTGTGGAAATTCCACCTGACAACTTGTCGTAACTCCATTTTTCAGCAAATGCGCATCATGAAACAGTTGTCCTATGTTTTCCTTTGATTAATCGTGCATTTGCTCGAATGGGATCAACTTAGAATAGCACAATATTGCTGCTGTATTACTAATGATTTATGGTTTCGATGCACAATAGCGCAGTGATTGATTGGAATCCAGCAGCGCACTGGCATGTCATTAAGAAAAATCGCTCGTGCTTAGCATGAACGTCAATACCCTACTGATGGGAGAAATAGTAAGCTGGCGGCAAGCTTCTCTCCTTGGTCGGTAAGAAATGGCAAAAATATTCTTTGGGAATGGATGTTTCTTGATTTTTATATCTATGTGCAATAGTCCTCGGCCGGTGCGACCATATTGCATTCAGCCCGTTTCAGTGAATGATTCAACATTGATGCAACAGCGACATTGGTTCATTGATTTGTGATTTAGTCCATCCGCAACTTCGCCTTACTGCTTTCTCTTCAACTTCCACGCAAGCTCCTCCACGGATTCCGCCCCGGCGGCCTTAATGCCCTCCCTCACAGACGTCAATTCCTCTTGTGCCGCGTCCGCCCTCTTGCGCTCCTCTCTCAAGGCAGAACACAGCCCATCGGCCTGCGACATGTGTCGCTTCAACATCTCCACGATTTCCATGAACTCGCCGTCAGGAATACCAACTCCTCCGCTGCTCGAGGGCACCCCTCTCGACGCCACCTCCAAGGCCCGCACTTGTTCCCCCAGCTGGGTGACTTGGTTGGCTGTATTCAATGCCGCTCGCTGGTGTGCGTCCATGATCTTGGCCTTCCATTGTCCCGCGGCTACCAAAAGGTCCTCTCTTGCTTTCTCCACAGCTTTAGCGGCGGCGGCGCTCATCGCCTGCAATTCACTGCATCAATTTTGCAGTTAGGTATGTTTCGTGGGACCAGATGGCCATGAAACTCAAGGGAAATTTGCGTTCCGTATTGGCTGTCTATGTTACTTGCACGCGTGTATGATCACCAACATAAGTGTTTCCCGCGCCTGAAACACGCTCTATCCTCAGTTTTTTTGGCTGTGGGTGGTCATTGAGAGTTTTGCAGAAAGCTATGTCGATCGTGTTCAGAATATCCTGCAGCTCCTTAGCCACACATGTGCTGGTAGCTGTATATGAGCATGTACTCTCCTGAAACCAAATCATGTGCGCATAATGTTCCCCAGGTCAGTTGCTTCGATGGCAAATGGAATTGATGCTTTCCAAATTATATTATTTCTTTTCAACGCCATCCACGTTTGGTGTGCACCAGCAGTGCTGTCCCTGTATATTCAGGAGTGCAAGTTGGGAAATGATGCTATTGGGAAAGCGGCAATTTTATTCCATGAAAACATACACTAAATTTCTCAATTCGATCATGACTTGTCCCATTGAAATTCAGAGAATACTTCATATATTCAAATCTTAATATCAGGTCATGTGCTATCATATCGATTCAATAAGTAGTTACTCTTTCTAGATTCCCAACTTCGGCCTACGTCGCCTGAATTCCCCGTCCCATACGATGTCGCCTGGGGTCTCATTGCCGTCGCAGGCGGTGGCGCCGGATGTTGGGCTTTTTCGCGTTACTTACATGTTAACGTATTCCTGCAGTTTCCAGTCAATAAATCTGGAATGGATACCAAA